GACAATGAGCAGAATGATTGCAATTTAGATAACAGACATTTGGTTTAGAATGTAATTTAAATGAAATATTTTCGTTTCATTTCATTTTATTTTATTAATTATAATTTTATTATACATTATACATATATATATATATATATATATAGTCTCAAAAAAAGTCCCTTTCCCACTCCTCGAGCGATATGGACCATTCTCAATCTCGGATCCTCTGGAGGCTTGGGAGACTGAAAGTTGCGCAGTATCTTAACTGTTTGCAGCATTTGCATTCTTCTGGGATATCCCTTTGTTCCTGGAATATGCTTAAGCCAATTTTCTACTCAATTATCAGTAGGATTTCTTTGGCCTTCATATTCCACATCTTCTCTAATTTTCTCAATCTTCTTCTCTATCTCTATCAATCTTCTCTAATTTTTTTTCAGCTCTTTCTTTTCTTCTTTATTTTTTTAACTTTTTCTATTTCGTTCTTCCTGATCTTGCCTTGCCATGGCAGTTCCTCTTCTTGGTCATCCTCTAATGTCTGTTGATGCTTCAGTTATTATCTCAGCAGCTTACCCTTCTCTGATGCATTTCTAAATACCCGTTCAAGACAATAGCTTCCACACTCACCAAGCAAAGGTCCACCTGTCTTCTTCCCGGCTGGTGTACAGTCTTCGAGTGTTAGATTTGGGATGGAAATTTTCGTGCATTTTGAAGAGTTTGTTGTCCGTTCTTCACATAAGCAACCTCCATATGTTTCTTTGTCCATCTTACAATGTCATCTGTGTACTTGATGAATGGCAAAGCGTATATATTTATATGGTATGGATTTCTTCCCAAATGTATTGGCACTTCAGGATTTGTCATATTCTTTGGTTATATTTAGATGTTGCAGTTTTCATCGCCTCTTCATCGCAGTTGCCATGTGGCCGTGAGTTATCAAAGAACTTGTACTTCACTTTCATGCACGCTATATGTTCTGATGGCAAGTCCACGCCATTATTCAATATTAATTCTCCTCTCTTTACTGCCATCAAGCCACATTTGTCTGATCCGAATGACATTCTAATCTCCTCGTAGATCAGTGTTAGGTGGGACGAGCAAATCAAAGTCTCGTTCACTTTTACCATATAATTTGATGTAAAGAAGATGGTAGTTTCGCTCTTGAATTTGTATCCACTTATAATTTTCTGGCTAAGAATTTACACCTATGCAAAAGAGTTGAGAAGGCAATATGCCGCAATTGAAAGCCACTCGTGCAAGTTGAGTGACTCCAAATGCCGTTTTCCACAGTACCATTGAATTCTCCATGAACGACTTTAGGATGCATTGCATTCTATATTGTATGCTACTCATTTAAGGTCTACCTGTGGTGGATGCGCACATTCTACTCGTCTCTCTGTGCGGCCTCGATTTACTGTAGACGAATTAACTGAATGTCATGGTGTTGTGATCAAGTAAACTTTTAAACTTTTAAAGTAAACTTTTAAAAGTTTTCTTTCTTTCTAAAAATGGACAAGTTTTTGCATTATAAGTATAAGGATTTGAACGATATTTATTTGAATTTTAGATTACAACGGCAATGTTTATTCTGTACGAAAATTTTGGCATCAGAGATATCACAGGAAGCAAATAAATTGCAAGAAAATGGCATTTAAAAGGGCATTCAGAAACCAATCATCGAAACATGATTGGTAAGCCTAACAAATATTTCGAAAGATTCAAACAATAAAAAGGGCCAAAATGAGATTTAGTAGATGTCAAGGATGTCAACCAAGCAATGTTTTAATATCAAAATCAACCAAAAATTAAACCTCGAACAATCAAAATTAAATTTGAAAAACCCTCAGAAATTCGTTACTTTTTTTTTATGGCAAAAACAAATGTGTTTAAAATAATTTGCAAATTAATTGCTTCAATCAAAATTGATTTCCAATTACTTGAAAAAAGTTTTATGCTTTATATACAAGTTGGCGGATTTGAATTATACTAATAATGATAAAAAATCATACTAAGTTAACAGATTAAACAGAATATAAATTAAATATAGATTTCCAAAGAAATCTCGAAAGAAAAAGAAATAAAAAATGCAAAAAATTTTAATAAAAAATCAAATTTTTTCAGCTATAGTTCATAGAAAATCCAGTATAATGGGAAGGCTTTCACCCAGATTTACGGATTTTTTCTTCCTCTTTAAGCAAGGCTCCTGTGAAGAATACATTCATTCTACAAAGTCTGTTGTTTTTTTTGGAATAAACCTGTGATATCAAAAAACCAGGTGGCTGCTCGGGACCCACCTGTAACTTTATCCCTGAGTGACTCTATGGTGGAAGGATCAGATATTCTTGAAGTGTTTGCGTCTTTCAACGAGCATGATATTCACAGCCCAGTGGTATATGAGATAAATATATAATCCGAGCGTAAAATCCCAATGTTCGTAAATAAAATATGCTCGCAAGTCAGGGCATTTGCTCGAAAGCTATCAAGAGGAATGGCGCTCTGCAGGCGCGGAGAGATGTTAGCCGTGTCAGCGTGGAAGTCAGAAGGATGATAGAGTTTGCAAACCAAGCGATCATTGTCCACACCCTTTCTAAATATCATGTGGATACCGCTTGTCGGAGTCATGCTCACCTTGGGCCTTGAGTAATTAATAATCCTAGCTCGGAGCAGAAGTAATGACTATATCATTGGGGTGCTTCAGAGCGATATGGCTTAGCGATTGTCATGTCTGAAAAAGCCCATTGTGTTTCCATTAAGTGGAAACCGATAAGCGACCGTATGGCCTATACTTGCTTTAAAGATAAATGGTGCACTACGTCAGTCATCATGACTATGCTCCAACTTTTTCAGGAGATGACCATGATGAGTTCTATGTGGAACTTCAACTGTTGACAAAGTCTCTACCGAAAGATGACATGTTTCAGGTGATTCTGACTATCGGATACTTCGAAAATTTGCAATGAAAGCACGGCGAACAAAAATCACTATAACTCGGGAAACGATCAATGAAATGGGGATAGCAATGATGTGCATGCTGAGAGTATTAAAAATCGCCTCATAAGATAGAAAGCTAAAGTTAATCATGATGCGCCATTTGTTGACCTGGACATAGCTGATATGTTCGTGAACCATACGTTTGCAATTGCGAACAGATCGCCAACAGAAGAAAAAATAATCTCCGTTATCCATAAGCTTAAAGCCAAGAAGATTCGGGGAGAAAATGGTCTTTGGGCCGAACTCTTCATTTATTGTCCATCATTGTTCATAATTCACCTTCAACAAATGCATTCTCTGGTATGGCAAAAGGAAATATTACCAGATGACTGGAGTAAAGCAATTCTGCTCCCTATTCTCAGGAAAAGTGACAGGACACATTGCGACAATTATTGAGTAATCAGCGTCTGTTAGACGCCTCAGCAAAAATTTTTGCTTCCATTTTACTTAAAGATTTATGGAAGTACGAAACAGCAGGATGCGCTCTAATTAAGAGGAATGGCGCTGGATTCAGACCGTATTCAACTATGCGATAGACTGCGCAATGGAAACCGTCTGTCGGCACTCAAGGAATGTCCAAATCAGTCCAGAGCATCGTGTAACAAGTTGAATACGCTGATGATGTAGTCCTTTTTGCTGATAGTTAGGACGAAATGCAAGTAATGTTAAATAACGTGTCAGAAAGCAGCAAGAACAGGACTCAGGGTCAATGTATACAAAACGAAAGTCGTTTCGCCATATGTACAAGAAGCTGATACAATGCCTCTTTTCATAAATTCATTGTCGGTTGAGAAAACGCGATTTTAAATATCTTGGATCCACTCTGGTACCAAATGGCCCGGCAAAAGACGATATTACAATCCGGATTACGAGAAACTTTTATGGAGTCGTCGTCACCATAAAAATGAAAGTCCGTATCTATATAACCGTGATTCATCCGATTTTGCTATATGGCTCTAAGACATGGCCAATGAGAGTGGAGGATATTAAGAAATTAGCTACGTTTGACCACTTTTATCCAAGGTATATTTTAGTGCCCGTCGAGCGGACAGAATATCACATAGTCGCATCTAGCTTTGTTCAAACACCACCTATATTAATAATATTATCATAGAGCGTCGCCTTCGGTGGTTAGGGCACGTTCTCCGTCATCCACCACTGGTGTTGACACAGATTTCGTTATTCGCTAAACCGTAAGATGGTTGGCGTTAAAAACAAGGTGGGCCAATCAAGACCTGATACGGTTAGGAAAGTTTTGAACACATAGATGGGTCAGCAATATATGGACTTAGACGATGGAGAAAGGAATGACTGTCACTGAGAACCGACATGTACCCCCATCTTCAGATCATTCTTTAATTTCCCATTCAATACCAGCTATTATAAGCTCTGAGAGTTCCGGATATAAGGCTGTAAAACATGGCAATACCGGTCTCGAACAGATTGGTTGCAGTGATTACTGTACGTTAATATATGTTGTCGATGAAAATTTGCATCGTAAAAACATTGGGTAAAAATTTTGTCGAATTCTGCTTGTTGCGTTGATAGGCGTTTTTTTGCGGTGTCGTATAACTGCATTTAATAAATATTTTTGAGAAATCTGCAAATTTTTTTCCAAATGTTTTTCATTTTATTTTTGTTACATTTTATTCGGTTATCGATTTATTTATTTTTCAATTCCTTTTGAATCGATAAATTCGGTGGATTTTCTTGCAGACGGATTGCATTTAGTGTTTGCTTTTAATCTCGCTAAGCCTCTGACGAATTGCTTCGGTTTTTGCCTTCCGAAAGGACCGACGCGACCTCCACGAACGGCGGAAGAGAGTCGGCGCCGTTGGCGGTTTTCCGGCGCTCTTCGCATCGTTTCGAAGATTTTTCGTTGCGCGATTTAAGTTGTTCTCAGCTAATTTGGCATTAAATCTTCACTTTGCGGATTTTGCGATTTTTTCAAGTGCGCGAATTTCCAGTGATCGTTGTCCACTGTGAACTGTTCTTTATTAGTGATTACCATCAGCGACAATTCACAATTCACAATGACACTATCGAATGAAGTCTTTGAAATTCTCAGATCGTTTTACGTTGAGGTTTTTTCATTTTTTTAATTCTTTATTTATAATACTCATTTAGTTCCTTCCTTTCTTAAAAGTAACAAGCGAGTTTTTTTCAAAACTTTTAGGATTTAAGAAAAAATGTTTCATTTTGTGGCAGTTCCACTTGTTTTCTGGTTCCTCTTTTATCCGAGAAACATTCATTATTTGCTAATTTCTTTTTGTGGTTTTTTTAGTTTTAGTGTTTTCTGGGCGGCTCCGGAATATTTTAGCGATAAGTTTTATAAATTTTTATAAATTGGGTTTTTAAATTTCAGTTTTGGGAATCATTTTTTCCAGAATTTCCAGATTATTATTATATTTTATTTGTGTTGGGTATTGCGATTTACATTTTAGGATAGTGTTTTGCAAAACATAAGTGAAGCGATGGAAAAAGAATTTATTATTGGCCTTGAAAAAGGTTCGCCTGAATCATCTATCGCCATGTTGCCTTCATATATTCCAGCCCTGCCAGATGGCACAGGTTATAAGCATTGTTATCAATATTATTTTTATATTTAAGCGGAGTTTTTTTTTTTTTTACTCATGCTTCTAATATTGTGCTTTCAGCATTAATTTCGTTTTTACTAATTTTAAATAATTTGATTAATATTTCAAAAGTTGATTCATATTTTTAGAAATTGGACAATATATATCAATCGATTTAAGTGGTAAAAATCTTCGTTTGATGCTTTTGAAATTGAAAGGAGGTTTGGGTGAACCAGAACAAGTGAATCATAATTATATTGTACCATCAGTTGTGATGAAAGGAACAGGGGAACAAGTAACTTGTTATTTAACAAAGCAATCAAAGATTTTTCAAAATATGAGGTTATGGGGACAGGTCGGTCGAATTTTTTATGTTATTCTCAGGCCCTTATAAGTTCGATTTCCATCCCTTGATCAAACCAATCAAGAAAATCAACAGCGAAATTTGTATAGTACTGTGAACCCTACACTATCTTCAAGTATGGCATGATTCTCTTTGTATTCACTCGAAAATAGATACGGTAAATACTGCTAAAGAAGAAGATAAAATGCGAAGACTGGATAAAGATTTTAGTTATTGTTCTATTTCCTTTCTTTCATATTCTCTGCAAAGTCTGTAATAATTCTTTCAAATATTTCGCTAGCTCGAATTAACTATTGCCAAATGTTTAATGTAGTCTGTATGGTAATATCAGCTTTTATATTTCGAAATACAACTTTTTAATTTCAGTTGTTCACCTTTATTGTGAATTGTTTAACGAAGTTCTTGAGAGAAGTTGATTTGTTGGAAGCATGTCTTCCTGTTGGCTTTGTTTTCTCGTATCCATGCGAGCTGCTTTCGATTCGATGTGCTCGTCTTTTATGGTGGACGAAAGGCTTTGATATAAAAGATTGCCTACAAAAAGATGTTGTTCGACTCCTTGAAGATGCTCTTGAAATGAATATGGTGAGATTCTTTATATTAAATAATTAGGCAGTACATGTATCCGGAAGAAAAGGCGACAGTGATTCTATTGCAAAATCTTGCTGATTAGAACCCCTTGATATTTCTTAAATTTTGTGAAAAATTCTGTTACCCTTGAATATGAACATGGCGAAAGCCAGTAATTTCTTAGTCACATTATGCTAAATCCTTTTGCTTCCTAATGCTATTGCATTTTTTCTTCAGCTCTAGTTCAAAATCATAGAGAATAGCATAAGAGTGGTTAGAGGCAAGACAAAGCTAAAGTTAGAGATTATGAATTAATTGTTAAATAAGCTGGAAAAAATTTCTGAGAATGAAAATTGGAGAATGTGAAGAATTGGAAAAAAATTGCGATGATTTGGCGAGTGTGAAAGAAGTATATTAGATTGTAATCAAAGTAGTCCATAGTTCTATAGTACTTATCTATAGGTCTTTAGTTGATGAAATGTTTTTTTGCTTATTCTTTAATATTAATATTTAACAAGTAAATGTATCTTCAGTTGACAAATGTGAAAATTAAAGCAGTCATGAATGATACAGTTGGGCAGCTAGCAGCTGCTTCATATAAGCATGGACCTCTTTGTACGATTGGTGTTGTTATAGGTTATGGGTGAGTTGCTTTCGTATTATTTTTATCCATCATGTTAACTTGATAGTTCATTCATTTTTATCTTATTTATTTAATTTCTTTTAAGAATGGAGGCAATCAAAGCAGAAATGATGAGTGCTGTTAGAAAAGAAGAAAAAGAAGAAATATCTTTCAGTACCATATTGATTGCCTAGAATTTTCCCACTTCAGGTGTAACTCATCTTATCTAGAAGATTCGAAGAATATAAAGAAAATTAATCTTAACGCTGCGGGTTACAAACATGACAAAATGATCGTAGTCACTGAATGGGAAGAGTTTGGGGCCAAAGTGAGTTCACAAATTTTGTTTCATGTTAAATTGATTAATCCTTTTTCATTTAATAAAATTTTTTTAAATTTTTTTAGTTTAAAAATTTCATAATTATTAGAATTTAGGGTGAATTAAACTGTATTTTCAACAAATTCGATAGGCAAGTCGATGCAGCATCTGTACATAGAGGAAGGCAATTGTAATCTTTCGATTTTTTTCATTCTGCTCGTTTTATTTCCCATTGTCTATATAATTTTATATAATTTCAACAAGATTCGCAATTTTTTTGATTCAAGATTTAATAATCTTTTCATTTAGATTTGTTTATTTATACTTATGATATTACGAAGAATATTATAGGATCGATAAATTAATTGGAGCCTTATATCTTGGTGAACTTGTACGTCATGTACTAGCTGAGCTTGTTCAGAATGGGCTATTGTTTAATGGAATGGTTTGTGAAAAAATTCATACACCTGATTCGTTTCCTACCAAATATATTTCAGAGATTCTTCGGTATTTCTTTTAATATTATGTATGTTATGTTTAGCCAGTTTAAATATTATGAATTAAATGATAGGAAATTTGCAAGTGCTTTAATTTCTGCCTAAGAATTTTTTTGGTTTTCGATTATGTTGCAAACTAAACTATTTTGAATCAAATCTTCTGATACATTTAATGTGTTTCTATTTTTTTCCAATTAGAAGTCTATGTCATAAAAATTTAGTGATGACGAAGAGGGTCACAAAGTTTGTCGTCGAATTTGCGATGAGTTGGATGTACCAAGTCATTGTACAAAAGATTACGAAATAATGTGGGAAGTGTGCCATGTTGTTTCTCAGCGTTCTGCTAGTATAGCTGCTGCCGGTTATTCATTATTTTTAATTTGATATATTAATATTTATTAACAAAAGAAGTGCTAAATCTCCTAAAATTCCTAAACTTTATCTGTTTAGCAATTGCTGCTCTTCTTCGCCACTTAAAGCAGGAGAATATGAAAATTGGTGTTGGCGGCGCACTTATACAATTTCATCCAACTTTTTTCGAGATGCTCAATGATAAACTAAAGGACCTCGCTCCGGAGTCTGTTCATGTATAATATTTTTTATCATCAAATAAATATATAGAAATGTTTAAAATATTTTTATATCATACGCCCAATTTTCCAAAGATTTCCAAACAACAATTTTAACATTTTTCTTTATTGTTTTCTTTATTGTAATATTCATAAGAAAATAATATTTCCAAAGTGGTTAAGTGGCACACTGCATCCTAAAATTTTTATGTCGAAATAGAGTCCATTTATTTTTCATGACGTAATTTTGTCATTCTGTCATTCAAGTTCTGAGATTTTTCTTTTTGATTACTAATTTCTTTTCTTGCAGTGGGAACTTGTTGCGGCTGATGAAGGAAGTGCGAAAGGTGCCGCAATAATTGCTGCGGTTGTTGAGAAACTTAAACTTTGAATGTCAGAAAATTCGGAAAAAAGTTCTATAGCTATTGAAATATATTTATAATATTAATTCATTTATTTTTGATTGGTTTCATTAATCTAATTCGCTCCACGTATGTTATGCAACTAATACGCTAGCACAGAGATCGTTTGATTATTATTTTCAAGTTTATACTAATTTAGCTCATTTCATTCTTTGAAAGATGAAAAGGAGCAAAATTATATCAAAATTATACAAAACTTATTTTTATTTTTATTTAGATTTGGCTAAAATTTCGCTAATTGTTGTTTTTAATGGTTTATGTTGTTTTTTTAGAAGTTTTGTGCCATATTATGTTTAATAAGATTTTATTAGATTTAATAAGAATAAGATTTAATAAGACATTAAATCAGGAGCTATAAGATTTCTTAACAAATTTATTCCGTTCCCTTAAAACAGAATGATAAAAAGAAAAGATAAGAATTAATTCCTTCTTAATCGTGAGAATCAAAAACAATTATAGCAAGATTGGCAATTAGATAAATTATGAAAATTGGAAAAAATCAAAAAATAAATTTTTTTCAAGTGAAAATTGTATCACATGTTTCTGCAGAGTGCTTTCTTAATGCGCTATCTTGCTAATAATGCTAGTAAAAGAGTTATTATGAATGCCTCTTTTAAGCGTTACTTTTTGATGGTGTTTTTGATTTCAAGAAAGATTCACTGCTGAAATTTTTTTGTTCGATATATTTTTTTGAACAATAAATAAATTTGACGCGAATATATAAGGTATATAAGGTATTTAATTTTTTAATTGAAAATAAACTGATAATAATTGAAAATTTTGAATTACGGAAACATATTTTGATAAACATTTAAAATATTTTTTTAGATGCAATACCGCACCATCTTATTCAAATAATACATTCCATACTGATTAGGCTAGCTGCATTGATTATTAGAAATGAATGTTTCATATTTTGAATTGAAAGCAGTGAAACCCGAGGGACCCGTGACATTTTTAATAACGTGTAAATCGAAAGAAACCATCAATATTTAAGGGTTTTTTAAATTGGTTGAGATGTACAAAATTTGTAAAAAGCTATCAACGTTGCATCACCATTCCGCGTCTCTATGCGCTCACTAAATGTTAAGATGAAACCACTTGCAGGTGATTGGAAACAATTATACTTTTTGCGTCAGCCAAATTTTAATGATGGATTTACTCCTTTAATCGGATCTATGATACTTGAGATCAACATTACTCATTCACATAACTGTAATAATTGTAATATATATACATCTACTATACCTAGACATTTCAAAAAAATGGATAAATAAAATTGAGACAATGAAAATGATAAAACTAATTAAAAATAAACGTTATTTCATCTTCTTAGTATTAGATATTTACTCTCGTAAGCAATCAAAATGTGAAGTTCTCGAAATGAGTTGAAAAAATCGTAATTGGATATTTCATCAAATCAGCATTTCCACATGGATTACTGATATACGTGCCGAAAGATCTGAATTTTTTTAGTCTTTACATAAGAAAAACCAATAGTACTTATGTAAGAAAAGCCAATGCATCACCGAATCCGAATACAAGTTTAAATGTAAATACAACTTATGCATTTAATTAAATATGTCTATTTTATAAATAATAGAATAAATCTAACAACTAATTTCAGTTTAAGGGATTAATATAATTAATATAACAATTCTTATAAGAATATTTTATAAATTAATTTTGACAAAAAAAATTTGATAGAAGTTTATGCTTTTAATAAACAAATTCTCATAAGCAAACACATCTGAAAATAAAAAGCATAATAATGAAAATAATATCACAGTAACCATGTTCATAAGAGTTGTCTGCAATTTTTATTGGTGAATAGACGTATTCAGATTTTGTGTGACCTATAAAAAATGAATAAAAAATGAAAAATGAATAATGAATAAATTAATTTAAATAAATTAATTTAAATTAAAATAAATTAATAAAAATTAATGAATATAATAAAATACAATAAAAGTTGGGAGATTTTCGGATTTCGGGTCTCTAGCTCTAGATTCCCATACAAACAGTGTGCCTCTATATGATCTGAGTGTTTTATGTTTTTTACGAAAATTAGGAAAAAAATAGACACCTCTGCATAATTTTTTGCCTGCGTTTCATATAATTTTTCTAATTTTTTTCTTTGTCTTTTTGATATTTCTTCACCATTAATCAAATGTGTTGGAATGCCTTTATCATCAAATTTCGAGTATTTGCCTTTTTCTTCACTTTGTTTGAACATTTCCCAAGGTGGAATTCGTTTAGAAGCTTCTTTTGCATCTTTTTCTCTTTGTTTACGCTGCTTTTCCTTAATGATCAAGAACTAAATACCATATCAACATCAGTAATACTCATAAACATTTAAACATCTCAATGTGTACATCTGTGAAAATTTCTTTACCATTTTTTTGGCTTCTTCAACGGCTTTTCTTTGCTGTTGTTCACGTAAAAATGTTTCCTTATCTACCAGCTTGACGCATGTTTTAGAAGTGCGATCTTCAAGTCGTACACCGAGTTCAGGGAGTATTTCGTCTCGGAGACGATCACATTCCTAAAATAATTGAAATATTATGTAATAAATTAAGATAAATAGATATTAAGATTTACTTGTGAAAATAAATCGAATATTTCACTGCATTTGTTTAAAACATTTCTTTAAAACATATGGGAGAAAATTGAGTTTTAAAAATCAGCACCAGAGGTTGACAGAATTATAGATATAAACAATTAAAGGGTAAACTTCCAAAATATCATTGATCTTATGATCACGAGCGATGTTGCGAACTTTTTGTCGAAAATCGGCTAGTACAATGAGATAAGGCATTAGAAGTGCTTCTGTCGTTTTGCTCGCAGTACCAGAACTAAAGCTGAGTTAAGATATAGATATAGCCAATAAAGAACTTTCCACAAGAATGGAAAGAATCAGTAGAAAACTACGTAATATTTTATGTTATTCACATAAACTTTGGAAAAAGCTTCAGTAGCCTAATTTACTAAAAAATCCCATAAGAACGTAAAATTAGTAGAATTTGGAAAGTGTACATAAAAAATAAATTGGAAGTGATAACCACTCAATAACAAATGGCACTTCATAGCAATTATATTTTACATAAAAAAGAATCTGTTAACCTTGTTTCAATCGGAAACCCAATATCGACGTTTGGTGGTATTGCACCAAAAACTTTTAATAGCCAAGTTATGTAATTCGCTATATTTCTCAACAGCAAACAATTAGGAATGAATTTTTCCTTCTCCTTAAAATTTTTTTTATGATTTTACCGCATTTTACTATAAATACTTATTCAGTTCCTCAATTTTTTCGAACTTCTTTATAATATTTTAATAAATGAATGATTAAAGACTAGAACAATGATACTATTATTAATGGTACTGATGAAACCATTGCTAGATTCACTCAAAAACAAAATAAAATGAACCATTTCATTGATGTAAGCATTTCCAATAGCAATTAATTCTCGAATTTTTTCAATAACCGTTCGAGTATCTATCGAATCACAAAGAGCTGTATTAACAGCAGATTTTATTTTGAAAAATTCTTCCATCAAACGTAACTCACGTTCACCATACTTTTGATAACCCTAAAAATATTTTTCTTTAACAAATTTTTTTTATCATTGGTTTGAATCTTCTAGATAAAAATTTAATCCTTCTATATTATAAAAACTTTCGGAAAAAAATGGATTTTCCTGAATATCGCCCAATTCAGCGATCTAGAAAAAAATCCAGAAAAAATGAAATTCTTTTCACTGATAAAAGTCTACAAATTTGCGTTACAAGTGCAATAACCTCGTGATTATTTGGTCGATAATAGCGTAGAAGATAATCCTTAACAAGAAGAAAGAATTCATTAGTTGTTTTTTCAAAATGTAATGCACCTTCCATTGTACTTGTACTAAAAATCCATTTAAAATTAAATTTACCTTTCTTTTATTTATCTATATATCCTATTTTTTTTATTTACTTTGTCTCGCCTGAATTTAACTTTTATCTAACTTTAACTTGATTAAACATGATTTGAAAATAATTAAACAATAATGCAGAAAAATAGATGCCAATAACCTAAAAATATCCCAAAATATTATTAAAAATATCAAAGTTGATAGGCAATCCACAATTACCAAATAATGAAAAATTCAAAAACAAGGAAACAAAGTTACTATTAAAAAATGAAACAAGAATTATGGAAAATAATACAGTAAAAATCAGGGCAATTTCCACATTATGCCTTTTAGGACTTAATACAACTGGAAAAAACCAATAAGCCTAGCTGACACAAAGACCATGAATTTAATGGGTCCTAACGATTAAAGGCAATAAGTCCTGTAAATTTACGAGTCGATAAATGAAAATTTTATTTCAAAAATTTCTAGAAAAGAGGAAGAGAAAAATATTAAAACCAATTTTCCTCTGATGCAACCCAAGAAAATTAAAAAATTAATCTAATATTGATTTAAAAATTGCAAAGATGGTGGATAAATATTCAGATTAAAGGAAAATTAATAAACTAATAAAATTAATAAAAAGATCACTTGAAAATATAGACATTATAGACATCTAAATTATTAAAATGAATGATGAATGTTCAAGCCTCGATATGTATCTTAAATATTAACGGCAATATTCTAATAAAACATTTTATTAAATATTACAGAAATCCTATTAAATTTAATAGACTTAAGAGAATAACGAAAAAAAAATTTTTTTCTTTGCAGTCCTCAAGCAAAATTTTTCTTTTCCTTTATTTATTTCATTCCCTGCTCACAAAAAATGATGAAAAATTTCAATAAATCTGTCTGTAACTTATAAATTTCGAACTGCGATGTAAATGATTCATTCTAGGCTATGACTGACTAGCAAAATTAATGAAAATATTGCATAAAAATAAATTTATAAATGGAAAATTTTACAAACCATAATAGGAAAATGAAATATTTAAAATATAATTTACCTTCTATTCTTACAATCGAAAAATAACCAAGAAGCATGAGATTTTTACGAAATTCCTAATACATTCAAGGGTATTTTAATATTTTAATAACATCAATGAAAAAATAAAAAACATTTATTTAAAAAATCTGTTTATTCGCTGCAATATTTCTATATAATATGAAAAAAAGAGGCGATGACAAAGATAATAAATGAGAATATAAAACCTTACTTTTTTGTATATTATGTACCTGTAATCAAGAACGTCGTTCCAATTATGCATTAAGAAAAGAATTCGTAACTGCCGTGCAGTATAAGTTTTTAAGGCTTCTCGAATTGTTATAAAATTTTTTAAACTTTTCGACATTTTCATTCCAGCAATACGCAATGTGCCACAGTGAAGAAAATAATTGACCCATTTATCATAATCATGAAACGCTTCAACCTAAACGTTTCAGAAATAAAAAATATATAATATAAAATAAAATATATCAAAAAGGTTCGCATAAAACCTACTAAAAACAGTTGAATTTTTATTGAAAGTAGTAAAATGTACTTGAGCAATTTCATTATCATGATGAGGGAATTTTAAATCAAAGCCACCGGCATGAATATCGAGTTCAGGGCCACAAATGCTGCAAGACATCACAGAACATTCAATATGCCAACCAGGTCGACCTGAATAAATGAAATATGACAATGTAATGTAAACTTAAGAATTACAGCAAGATGATCTAAAAAAAAAACAAAAAATAAATGATAAACATCAAATAGTACCATATATTTACAAGAGATTTACAAAAAAATATTTTCTTACCTTTACCCCAAGGACTTTCCCAAAATGGTTCTCCGCTTTTCGAAGCTTTCCAGAGAGCAAAGTCAGTTGGGCTTCGTTTATCCTGCAAAAGCAAACAGGATCGCTAAAAAAATGAAGTAATTAATGAAGGTTCAAAAAAATGAATGAATAAACGGACCAATCAAAAAATGCTAAAAACCTTTTTTTCAAAAAATACCTGTAAATTTCCCATACTTAATTCTCCTTCACTTTCACGCATATTTTTTAAAAACTGCTCACCCTCACCAAAAGCTTCTGGCACAAGCTTCGCATATGAATGATTCTCTTTAGATTGGAATGCAACTGTATCAAAATATACCTAGAACCATATATTTAAAAAAATTAGAATGTAAAGTATGTAATGCTTTATATAATACTTTTTTATACTCAATGAGCAAAAATTAATGTGAATAATGGCTTCCTCACCGATCCATCACTGGTTAAATATCCATATCCATTATTAATGATCCTCTCCACATACTTAATAATTTCAGGAATATATTCTGACACTCTTGTTAATACATCAGGTGGCTGAACATTTAATAGTGCCATATCATTCATGAATTCATCTTCATATCTACAATTTTCTCAAATAATAAAAATGTACGGCTAACAAAATCAATAAAAATTATGAAATATCACTTTTTCGCAAGTTTATCAAAGATCGCAAAATCTGTGATGCTATCGCCGTATTTAGAATCAAGCCAATCAGCAAGGATATCTTTAGATACAATTTTTAATTGTTTTCTCGCTTCGGTGATTTTTTCATCAATATTCTCTACCATCGCTTCTTCAAACTTCCTTACAGCTTCATTAACATTAACCAACTGAAAAAACCAAAATTTTCCGGAATAAGTGTGAACTGATTACAAAAATAAGAAAATTGATGAAATAAGAAAACTTTGATAAGAAAATTTTTCCTGCTTAATTTAGTCAAAATTTTCAATACAATTTACCTAAAAATCACCAAAAAATGAAAATGAAACCATACAAACCATATCATTTAACATTTTTAATTTATCTGGATCACTTTCTTCCGCCATTTTCGTTTTAAAAGCACTTAAAGCAGAAAGAATTGATTCGATAAATTTGGAAACGTCCATATTGTTTTCTTGCGATATAAAATTCTCAAAAAGATGATTCTGCCTGGCTCTAAATTCAATTTAACGAAAAAATTTTAAAAACTGGCTGGCTTCAATTAAAACAATTCTATTTTAGAAAAAAAGCTCAATGCAACTAGCCTTTTGATAATTTTATCATCAATATCAGTGATATTCATTACAAACTGTATATCATAACCGAAATAATCCTTCATAACACGCCTAAGAATGTCAAAAGATAGGTAAGCACGAGCATGACCCATATGAGCAGAATCATAAACTGTTGGGCCACAAATATACCATTTTACCTGAGTATAAGTTGGATTAGATAAACAAATCAAAAAGCCTATTTCAAATTAAATTTGGCAAATATATTACATAAATATATTCAATTTATAAATTTTTATATTTATTTATCATTTAAAAATATTTATCATTGCCACTGCAGGGTTAGATATTGCAAACAGAAATAATTTTTTCACCATTAGAAATGGCTCAATATCAATATCAGTATAAAGATCTATATAAATGGAGGTATTCCCGCGCCTTTGACATAAGAATTTGTGACCGGATAAAGAACTGGCGATAACGATTTGATCAAATAGGAAATTGGCTGTAAGACAACTTTTTTTCCGTTTTCCTTTCTTAGGCAAGCGACCGGCATATAAATGTCGAAAGGTGATTACCATCGCTGGAAACAACTCGACGTTCCATTTTTGTAAAACTGGAAACAAAACATTCAATACGCTGTTTAGCCGTTACTCGGATTTCAAGACGCCACAAAACTGGACGAATTAGCAGAGTCGCTCCACATGTTAGACGATAGAAAGCCTGGCGATATATCTTTCAATAAAACTGTGGCTACTCAACAAAAGATACCAGTGTTTAAATTGGCGAAGAAAGACTATGAAGACTTCGTCAGCATGTTGGTTTCATACTATGTTGGTTTTGCCGCGAAATATATTACGTTAGAAATTATCGAAATCAAGAATGCTCAGTATACAAACAAAGATCATAAAGGATCTTGCAGCTCAAATAATACGAAAAGATCAAAAAAATCTTCTCGAAACAATAGAAAAAACCAAGAACACTAAATCAAGTCGAGGTGAAAACTGAAAAATCTAATAATGCTAATAAACATTAGTAACAGCCAACAGTTTGCTGTAATTGCACTGAAATAAATAAGCATGCAGTGACTTTTGAACTGGATACCAGATCTAACACCAACCTTAATCCAGATAATCTTACCGGATCACCAAAATTAAATAAATCGTTTGCGACATAGAAAAATGTAAGCGGTATTAAAAGAGATGGAAATTTCCGATGCTTTTTCAGTTTCCAAAACAAAAAAAATTATGGCACATTATGGTGTGAAAAAAATAAATCTCGGTTTACTAGGAATTGGAAATCTTATGATGTCATTAAAATTTTGCCAAACACGACTACCCATAGGATACAACATACAATCAAACTCCAGAATAAATTTGAAAACAATTCCCTATCGGAGACTGATCTATCGAATGTTGTTCAGAAGCAAAAACAACACAAACCAAATGCAGCTTTCCCAAATCATATCATACTAGCAGAAGCATAAATAGGAAGGAAAATAAGAACTTCACTAGATTTTTTGCGCTCACATCGAGTAAAGGACCCTCAAATAATAGAATAGAATACAATCGACATCACGGTGCTATCATTCGTTCTTTTGCTTTCACTTTTTTGTGCGAAAAAATTCCAAAACAGCAAAAGGAAGATAACTAGCAAAAATAGTTCGGTGAATCGGAAGAGTATTAAATAAGGTTGAAAGTGATAAAAGATGGCATATTTGGCAAGCAAATCAACTTCGCAGCACAATGGCCAGTCGTGATGAGGATACCTTAAATACCCTTTTACAGACTCTGAACATTCCAGTAAATGATATCGCCTAAATTGGGAAATCGGTATGAACCAAGCATCAGTCGAGTTGCATTTGACCTACGACGACCAACCAGAATTCGAAGACCATTATGCAAAATATATCCTGGAGATGATAGTTGGCTCAGTGGGTTGTTGCTCAATTGGGAGTGCCGATGCTGAGGTTCGATTCTCTGCAAGAGTAAACCTATAAAAAAAATCCGGATGATGCTGGCAACAACCTGCACTTCCATCGTTAAAGGACTCTCTGGCATATTGCCCAATACGACAAGCCAGTGGAGACAGCAGTAACCAGTAATTGTGAGGACTCTTAAAAAAAAATGCAAAATCTATCCAGAACCACAGAACCGCAAATATTAATTTACAGAATACCTTTTTTTAAGATAATTTTTTTCCTTAGAAGGAAAATATTCTATGATCAGTATAACATAGATATAGATTCCTTCCACTAAAAGAAACTGATCAATATTAGTATAAAGATCCACGTAAATGTAGATTTCTATCGCTGCTTACGGTTTCTTTAAGAACCGATATTTCTTTTATATCTTCTTATATAATCTGAGGCTGAGGATATTTTTATTAATATATTACTATATCGCCATTGTATTTTTATTACCTATCGTGCATCGCATAAGCGCTTTTTTTAGGGCTTCATTACACTCGCGCCCTCGACATAACAAATACTTTGAACAAAAGCTTGATAATTTTCAATTTTTTTCAATAGAAAAAGCCAATAAGACACTTACTCGCTTGGCATTTATTGGCACAAATAAATTTTTTTTTCGCGTAAAGCTATTGTAAAGATGTAATTTAGGCACATTGCTATCTGGCTCTGGCTGATTCCAAGAATGTTTAGCACGCTTATCTATTAAGAAATTTTTTATTAAATTTTTTTTATTAAAATCATCCATTAAAAAATCAACGAAAAAGTAAAAGCGAAAAGAAATGAAGCAAAAAAATTAAAGGTTGGATGTGAAAAATTTTAGTTATTTAAGAAAATTCTATGAAATTCAACTATTCCAAAAAATTTGTTTTCTATAAATTTTCGCAAAAGATGATGTAAAAAAATAACTAACCATAATTGTTAGCAATCATCGAATCTACTGATAATTTTGAATTAATAGCTGAAATGAAAGTAGTAAGAACGTTTAAATTAGCTGAATTTACAGTTACAAAAGTACAAATTAGAAAGCAACTTTTCATAAAATTTCGTTTTCAAAAATTTCATTTCACAAATTGGCAAATAATTCACTTTTCAAATATTCCATTCAATTTTTCCATTCAACGACGGCTATATATTGCGTTTTCGCTTCCTCGCTTCACCATAATTTTTTATCCTAATCCTTTGTAATAATAGCTTTTTACCGATAAATAACTCTATCTTAACTGTACATTTACAATTATCACCCTAAATTTATTTATCAATAAAACGCCTTCGCATTTTCTATTGTCTCTTGTTACTCGATCACCGTCTCCTTCTGATAGCAGCACTTTATGTGGCTATTTAGGATGAGGGCCTTTTCGACACAAAATCAGTGGAAGAGACAGATGTATAAACTATGCCAGGATGAGTACCCATAAAACGCTATTAAATCTCTCAAATCCTCCAAATCTTCCTATAACACCTCATCTAAGCCTAAATCCCAAGCATATATCACGCTTGCCTTATTCTTTAACGCAACTAGTTGGATCTTTATAGCAAAGTTTCGCTGCTGTTTCCGTAAAAATTTATCCTTAATTTTTTTATTAGCATATATAAAAGCATACGCATATAGCATAAGCAACCTCTCTGAACCTGCTATTTCCAAACTTACTCATGAATCCATTCCACAGGACAGCCAAAGAAACAAAAAAAGTTGAATCGAAAGAACAGATGGAACAGAAACGTGGAATGTACTGATGCAATCGCAAACAAAAAACTAACATCTAATTATCGTTATGTTATCGTTATGCTGGTATGCAACTGTATGCATACAATGCAAACGACAAATCGTCGATATTTGTGTAATTCTAAACTTATAAAATGCGAACGTTGCTCTGAAAAATTGAATTTTTTAGGATAAAGAAATCCAATAATTTAATGAAAATTACGACGATAAAGAAGTACAGATATTTTTTATTAATATCGAACTATATCTTTTAATTTTTTTGTTGAAAAGATCTTTAAGCAGAAAGGCCAAATTCGAACACCAAGCGAAATAATCCAGAATGCTTACTCATTCACGGTGATTTCACTCATCAGTGAGGAAAAAAGTACCGCCAAAAGAATTATGAGTGATTAAATATTTAAATTATAGAAGCGAGATGGATAAAATGCTACAAATTACTGAGAAAATAGCACTATAAATAACAAATCGTAAAGAAAAGAATGCTCGGAGAGGAATGTCATCGATAAGTTAAATTTCGGATAGAAAATAGGAATACATGACGACAGGCTGAAGTACCAGGATAAAGCGGAGCCCGTTGGGAAGCGGGATGACGCAATTGGAGAAGACTGGAGGGGGCGATAGAAAAGCGAACACGCTAGGTGACTTTTTGCTGACATTGTCTTAATGGGGACCAGGAAAGTGAAAATTAGCAAACAAATAAATTTCGAGATGGAAATTCGAGAAATTTAAAGAACCACGCTGAAGGAAACCCTAAAAGAAATCCTCAAATTTGCCGAAAGCCAGCGAAAAAACGCTGAATCAGAGTGAACAAATTCCTCATAAGATTTTGAACACTCGCTTGAGAATTCGAGCTGCCAGATCATAGATCAAAAGTTCATAGAGCTCGGGCAGGCCTCAGCAAAAGCACTCCAATAAGCAACTTGGAAAAAAAACCACAACCCCCGACCCGCGCCGCGACTCACACGTTAAACTACGAGCAAAATGTTCCCCAATCAAATAAAAGTCGGTACTGAAGTAAAGTTCGGTCTCAAAATTAAAGAAATCTCTCAATTTTCTTAACTTTTCAAATTATAAATTAATATTTTAATGGTCAAAATGCACTATGAAACAAAGCAAAGAATACGGAGCCAAGAAGTTTCATAATTTAACTGGCGAAGACGCATCCAGACAGTGCAGACAGTTGGAACTTGTCAACGATGACAGTGGAATATGGACGGATGTCCTCCACCAGCGCATGGGTCTTCTATTATGTTACTGTTGAATGAGAGTACGGTGGAAGTTTCGTGTTTACCTGAAGGCATAGGAGCAAATGCAGGAAATAGGTTAGATTAGCGCGGAAAACATGCATTTTCATATATAAAAGCACCGGTGAATTTGGTGTTTGTCGGCGATTCGTCCAAGTCCATATATCGCTGGTCCCATCCACCTAAACATTTAAAATCTTTTCTGAATGTGTCAGTTTCACATTGACGAGTATGATTCTCACTGTATTCTCGTTCATATTGTTAACATATTGGTAAGCATTATTCGCATTTCGCCATAACTGTCGGCAAAAAGGACTACATTATCAGCGTATTCAAGATCTGTGATACGATTCCAGAGAACTGATTTGGACATCTCTTCAATGCTGAAAACTGATGTCCATTATCCAGTCTATACCTAACTGAATGTTGTAGGTGAAAGGGCGTAGCCTTGACGGACACCAGTTCTTGTTTTGAAGGAATTCCCCATATACACACTCCGATAAAATGAGTCGGATGATCTTCTCTGAAACACTGTCTCGTTCCATCAACCTCCAAAGCGCTCTATCAATTGAAAGCAAATGTAGAATCGATGAAACGTGACGGTGACATTTGAAGCCTAACCCCATTCCATCCACATTCAGCGTAAATATCTGGTCAGCATAGCCTGAATCCAGCTTGATTAGGGCATTTGCAATCCCGTACTGCCATTTCCTTCTGGTCGTTGCTTCCATTGAAATACATATCTATTGCTAGATGTTAAGAGGAAGTGGACAAAAGTTCTGTTCAGGTAATACTGACCACCTACTACATATTTTTATCGTAAAATGATTCCTTCATAAAAAATTTCTTGCTATAATTGTCAGGTAATTAACCAAATTTGTCACTGCCCATGTTTTCCATTGATTTTTTTTAAGATACCAAGAAATTTGCATTCATTATTGAAATGCTAATTTAAAAAAAAATATATTTTTGCGTGAATTCAAATTAAAGTTTACTTCTTTCAAAAACGACTTAAGGAAATTCTATTTTCAGTTATGGAATTCTATTTTAACGTTTCTCATACGTTCCGTAACCATTGTATCTAACATCGTTCCGCTACAGAATACAGCGAGAAGCTTGGCACTTCCGCATTGCTCATATTGAATGTTGTAATCCTATAACAATTGCCATAAATGTGAACTTAATAACGATAAACATATAACGAAAAAAACCAAATCTTGAAAAAAAATTGATTGAATTTTTGAGTACGGCAGGCAATCTGAAATTTCCAAATGAAGCAATTTAAATCGCTATTTTCAAGCAAAAATATTTTTATATGGAACTATGCCCACGAAAAAGCAACTCATTCCTAATTTTTCATTCTAAGAATTTTTCTCTTCCGTATTAGCGATTAGTTATTCTTCGAAGAAATGAAAGGAGAACAGGAAAACTATTTCGTAAAAATATTCGTGATTTATAATAATAACTAGTTCTTATCATGTGGTTAAGAATTAAGATTACACATAATTTATATCAAACAATATCATTTTAACTACTTATGTTTTATTTTATTTTTCTAATTAAAAACGGTTAACATTTCGCGCTTATTTCTTCCCTTTCTTCGCTTAAAAATTTCTTTTCATAAAAATTTATCAAGTAGAAACGAGTGCCATTGCTAGGAGTCCACTTGTATTTCTATGTGCTAATTGTCTGATGATGTGGGTTTTTCCTAATAGCAGATATAGTCATTCAAACTTGAAATGGTGAATGCTTCTGGAGGCAAAGTGCCGTAAAACATTTTACTTCATTTCCTAGCTATTTTGACATTTTACGGATAACACACAAAATTAAATTCAGCTCTTCCATTTCTAAGAAAAAAATAAATTTTTCTGAAATTTCATGGAATTGAAATATTGTTGACATGGAAAGATAATTTTCATGATCTTATCGAAGGGATCATTCATTCATTTAATGGTATACTCGACATGCATGTGCAAAAAAATTGGTGACATACATCGATAAATTAAATATTGGTTTTTTGCGAAAAAATTTCAGTTTATGCAAAAATCATCTATAACTTGAATGGATCATTTCCAGTCGCTGAATGTATGCACCCATTTTTATGAATTTGAAATTTTTTACTGAATTTTTTCTACAAATATTGCCGTAAACTTAAAATTCAGCTGCACAATTGATGGCTGTATTTATAAGGCAGATTCTCCGTTTAAATTAAATTAGATGCACTTTCTCGACAATTGGGTAATTTTTCCTCGATACATTCCTCGATGGATACATTCCTCCTTCTCTCTCTCCCCCTGTGGTCCTTCTAACCTATTAATCAATTACTATTGCTGTTTTCAATAAATTAACCAGTTCTACTGGCTTAACAAATTGCACCGAAATTCTTTTCGGAATCTATAGGATTTCTACTCTTTATGCCATAGATTCAAACAATTGTTATTAAAAAGTAGTAAAAGGGAATCAAACCAAAACAGTCAGAAGTAATTAAAAAATTGACTATAAAGGGGCGCATAAATCTGCATGACAGTAAATTATAAACTGCAAATATATATTACTAATAATTTTTTTTTAAAAAATTTTGGTAATTAATGCGGTTTTTTCGGATTATTTTTTCCGACAATTGATTCAACATTTTAGCCAACAAGCATGACCTTTGAGCTAATTTTTCCCGTACGAAATTTCGAAAAAATTTTTTTTGTAAATTTTCACCTTTTTAAGAAATTCAAAATGAATATCCCTAATATCGAAATGAATTTTTTTACTAAACTAACTTTCAATTTTTTTTTCTCAAAAATTTTCTAATTTTTCTAATTTTTAATATCTTAATATTTTACTTCATTTCCTAGCTATTTTGACATTTAATATCTTGAAAATATCAATGTTCAATTCAATTAGTTGAATTAAGTATATAAAATATATAAAATAAATAAAATAAATAATATAAAATATATAAAATATTCTTAAAATTTGGATTTCGATGGCGGAAAAAAAGACAGGTCGATTCTGTTACTTTACTTCAAATATGGCATTCGATCGGCTTGAAAGTTTTCCCATCTCCTCCCAACTGAATCAGCATAACCAGTAACAGTGACTGCTATTAGAAGCGTTTTAACTATTTGTTGAAATTTTATCCAATTTTTATACCAACAAAATCAAGTTGTAAGAAATTTTGGTATGAAGCATAATTTAATGTGACGAGCTATGTCTACTTAAGAACGTGTAAAAGTTTAATAGTTTCTCAAAATACCACATCCCAAAGCCAAATGGTGCTGATGTTCCACTTGTATTTATACCCAAGCAATTCTTTGGTATAAATTTGTAAAAGCGCTGAGCTAACCAAACTAGAAATGGTGAGCGCTAACCACCTATTTACTGCCTCAGTGACCCACGCCAATAAAATCTATCGAAAATTTTTGAAAAGCTCATGGTTTTGGGACCAATTTATAATTTATTATTAGAATTTAAATTATTTTATCATGTGTTTCTTAGGATGGTTTTTTTTACAGTAGCAGTAGTACTAGAAAAGTTCTATTCAAGATTTCTTCATTTATTAAAATGCGAAAGAGTCAGCGCAATTTGTCGAATTAAAATAATGATTATTCTATGATTATTTGCTATTAATTACCAATTTTTAATTTCATTATTTTCGTTTCCTCTTAAGAAAAGATACGGGAATAGTTATCAGTTTATCCTCTCGAGCGCCAGAGTTTAGATTCCGGTAAAAATAGGCCTGGCCTTTAAAAAATCCGGATGATGCTGGTGAATCAGTCGAGCTTCTATCAGCGAGTTACTCCCAAATATTTCTCACCGAACTAATAGCTAATGGAGCAAAATAGCTTACGAGAAATAATGAGCGCAATTAAGAAATTATTTTAACCATAAATTATTTAGACTTTTCCATTAGGAAATGCTTGTAAATTTATTTTTTATAATGTTGTTTATTGTAATCCTATTTTATTTTCCATCAATGTAGTTTTTTTGCCACACATCATACAAGATAATTAGTAAATTTGCCACGATGATCGACTGATATTTTGCTTATTCCGACTAAGTGTTGCGCATCCTTCTATACCCCAGTGATTCTCTAGTGAAAATGGTTTGCTCCTAAGAGTAAATAAAGCCATTTCTAAATAAAGTTAGTTATTTTTAACTAGAAATAGCTAGAGGATGAAGAAGCAGAAATGTCATTTTTTGACGGACAAAATTCGCCGTGAGAATTATAATAATGTAGATTTTCTAACAGCTTAATTCGAAAAATCCTGAGTGAAACAAAGAATTTAAATTATTAAATGATCCTTTGGTTCAGAAAATTTCCATGAGTAATGTAAATCAGTGATGCGTTTCGGAAATTTTCAAGAATTACATTGGCGTGTGCGAAATTTTTTGCAATTTTTGCTTGATTTCATTTTATCTTTTTTTAAAAGCGTTATCTCATTTTTTTAATTCCTACAATATTTATAACTTGATTTTGTGTTTACCTTTATTTGGCATTTGATGAGCAGTTACTTTTTGGCATTCTATTAAAATAATAAAAATAATTTTCGAGCATGTTCGCTATGTTTTTTACTCACCGCTATTTTTCTGCCAAATTTTTATTTTCTTAATTTTCCATTTTTTTAAAGAGTTTTTTAAGAATCCTCACCATTACTGGTTAACTCTTTCCACCGGCTTGTCCACTGGACAAATATGCCAGGAAGCCCCTTGGCGATAGAAGTACAGATGTCGCCAGCACCACCCGGTTTTTTGTACAGATTTACTCCTGTGGGAAATCGAATCCCAGCATCGACGCTTCCGATTGAACAACAACCCACTGAGCCATTCCATCCCCAAATTTTTATTTTCTTAATTTTCCATTATTTATTTACTGCTGCTTAACATCTAGTCTAACCCAAATTGTTTGCCAATTTCTTGCTTTGCTTTTGGCATCCGTTGCTACGATTATGAGACACAATATGACACAAATACCTGATTTTATGTAATTTTCCATTCCATAAATATTGTTGCTTGTTGGTCATCTATTTGCTTTTTAAGGTTGTTTCATTTTCTACAGATCTATGTTTCTATATATACATAGCTCAGAAATTTGAATTCTCGATCCTAGCATGAGTAAACCCATCGTTAAAGAAAATCTGATGTCGGTAATCCTATATTTCTACACCAACAGTTTTTATCGTGAAAATCGAATTGAAATTCGATTAAAATCGGAAGCATTAATTAATGTCGCACATATATGGATTCTTGTAAATTCGATTGTGTTACATCAGAATTAATTAAATAATGCTAAATAAACAAATTAACTTAAATTTCTAACAATAGATAGAATTAGTTTAACCAGAAATCTCGTCGCTAACTGCTTTTCTTTTCTGACCTGTGCCCATTGCTAAACTTTAGACAGAATCAGCTTTATGGGATCGCCTATGTATGTAAAGTCGATTTATTTTAATTTTTCATAATTGAAAAGAAAGTGGAAACATATCGGATGAAACTCATAGAATGATTATTTTTCTTTAAATTTCAGGATTGAATCAAATCATTTGTATTCTTTCAAAAATGGAAAACTCGAGGAAAGTTGAGGCGAATTCGCGAGCTAAAGTAGATCTATTTGGCAATCGAGTCCGATTTGTTGTGCTCATACTACTATTAGTCTGTCTTGCTTCGCTGTGGTCTAATGTATTAACATTTAATATCGCTGTGTTATGTATGCACCCACATAGGTTTGTTTTAATTGCACAGTTCATCGAATGTTCAAGTCACTCAACAAAGCCAATCGAAGCAGTTGCAAATATTTTTAAGTGGACATGGTGGAAATAAACTGATTGAGATATATCCCGAAATATGGATTCTTGTAAATTAATCTCAAAAATGTTTATTACACCAGAATATCAAAATTCGTGAAAATTGGGTTGAATTTCAATTAAATAATTATGTCAAATTAATTAAATAATAACGAACTAAATTATTAAATTATTTCAAGAATATTTTCTTTTTAAAGCTATAGACATGAAAAAAATGGTTGAAATTTTTTGTTATATTTCATTTTAAATTAAAGAATATCGAAGATAAACATTGAAAATTTTCACCTAGATGATAATTTAGATATTTGAATGGAAGTATAACTTCATTAGAGTTAAAATTGGCTCAAGAAAGTGACGATAAGCATGATTTTGATGATCCGCATGTCATTGGACTTTTTCAAAAACGAATTATTTGGTATACGCCTGGTGATAAAAGTTTATTAATTGCTGCTGTGGCCATTGGAGCCTTAGTTAGTCCTTTTTTACCAAGTTTTTTACATAATTAATTAAATTAATTATATAATTAATTAACCCGATCTAAAAATTAAAAAATAGAGTGTACCAATTTTTTAATGATTTTTTAATTTTACTCCTATTTGCGGGAGGAGGATTCTTGCTTCTCAATAATGAGTCGTTATCCACTCGGTTATAACTTCATTGAAATATTTCGTCTATATAAATGATATAATAAAAAGCAAAATTTATCATTCACCAAAAAAAATTAAAATTTAAAGATGACAAAAAACAAATATTAATAAATTTAAAAATATTGTAAGTATCTGAAAAATTTTTTAAAGTTTGTGCAACTATTTCAGTTCAATAAAAAAATGTTTCAAGTCAATTTCTCAAAAATTTTATTAATTTTACTCATCTTCAAAATGACAAAAATGCGACATAAAAACGGTCGATACACTACCGATTTATAGCTATGCATTCTATATATATATATATATATATATAGTTATAAATGCTATACATTCCATGAATGATTTAATAATTTTCTGATGATTTTTATACTTGTTGGGAAAGTTAAGGCTATTATTCATTCGCACAGAAAAACAGCATGGCCCGATTATAATTGAGGCAATTATCACATGATTTCCAATAAATATAGTTGTTGTTCAGTACATTAGTAGATCAATACAGTAAGTTAATAAATAAATACCACTGCCCATCTTTCCAATCAAAGAGAGAAGAAAGAGAGAACAGATGATATCGATGACAAGGATATATTATAAGAATAACAATACGAAAACACCGAATTTTCACAAATATTTTTTATATTAACATAGTTAAAACAATGATAAGATCAGAGATTACAAAACAATTTAAAAAGTCATCTGAATTCTTGGAATTTAGCGCTAAAAAGAAAATCGAAATCTAGTTTTTAAAATAGCATCTAGCAAGATTTTTATACCAATGCTATTAAATTTAGCTCTTTCAATTTAGATTGGTAATTTTCCAATAGTTTGGTTAATTGGACACTATGGAATTCGAATGACATTCGGTATATTAGGCATAATCTCCGCAATTTCTACTCTAATGATACCAGCTGCCGCTCGTTTGGGATTGATGTGTTTTCTTGCTATCCGAGTTTTAAATGGAATTACTTTTGCTGCAAATTTTTCTGTAGTTGGTTCGTTTACGAATAAATGGACTTATTATAAACAGGTTGAGTTATTTTTACGGAACGTAAAAAATCCTTTCAGGAAAATCAAAATCGGAATTTTATTATAACATTTACTCCAAATAATTTTTATGGTAAATAAATCTTATTAATGAATTTTAGACTACTTCATAGCTTCGGTTCAGAATAAGATTATGTCTGTATTATGTCTGCAGTCTTAACTAAGATTTAATAAGTTAAAAAACTAAATAGATACTATCGTTAACCAATTTTTGCGAAAGAATTAGAAATGAAAATAATTGTCAACACCACCCACATTTTGGTTTGAAGGGATTATTTTGGTCTAATAGATCGAGCTTTTGCTTCTCAACACAATAGTTGAAGCTACACACCATCCACTCAGTTTATAAAACTTTGTTGCTAAAAATAAATAAATATAAATGTGAGAAAGAAAATTATGTTATTATATTCGCTTATTTTTGTTGTTGATTTGATCATTGTATTTTTTATGAAATTCAAGGGCCAAATGTCATTTTATTGGAAAAAATCATCATTGAATAAGTTTTCTATAGAGCTGAAAAGGAAATTATCGTTAAGATCTAGTTTTTCAATTTTATCGCAGTGGACGCTTAAAATTTGAGAATTTATTTGAGAGATTATCATTGGTATAGTAACAGATTCGTTTGGATGATTTGAAATGTTGATATTGACTGGCACGTTAAAATAAAACAAACGGTATATAATAGACTACATAACCAATATCAGACATTAATTATTCTGCAACAAAATTCTACAATACTGTAATAAAATTTCGTGTTCGTTTGTGTGATAAAATTGATTTAGAACGGATTGTTCGTATCGGCTTTAGTAGCACATTTTCAATTAGCACCAGCTTTAACAATGCCAGTTGGTGGTTTCTTATGTACAGAATATGGATGGCCATCGGTTTATTATTGTCATGGAGCAATTTCGCTTATTTTATTTTCGTTATTTATTGGAGCTTATCGAAATTCACCAGATAAACATCCATTTGTTAGTGATAACGAAAGGAATAAAATAGCTCTTGGAAAAGATTTTGTTACGTATGTTTTTCAAGCTTCCATAGATTTAGGATAATCAATTATAATTATTATAATTGATTTATTTTCTAAATCACTTCTATTGAGGAGTTCCATTAGAAAAGACAACCAAAGGTCCAAATTTCAGTAAAAGCGAGCAACGACAAGTACCATATTTAAAAATACTAAAAAGTACTGAGGTATGGGCAATATGGATTGCTGCATTTGGCAATTCCTTGTGCAGTAATTTAATGTTTCTTTATTCGCCAACATATTTACACACCGTAGTGGATTTTGAAGTCGAACATACTGGTATCAATGCTGCTTTTCCACCGTTATTACAATTTATCATAAAGATTGCTACTGGTTTTGCCAGCGATAAATTAAGATTTATCCATGAGTCAACCAAATTAAAGGTTTGCATCCTATTTCTGAATTTATTAAATTAATATGTGAAATATGTGAATTAATAAAAAGTGAATTCATACAACCTCTAAGTTTTCGAAATCTAAAGCGGTTAAAAGCCAAATTTATTAATGAAATTTTTTCGCTTAACTTAACAACATAATCGCATTTAAGAATTGTCGAATGGTGTTGAATCCACTTATAGTTCAGGTAACTTCTCTTGCGAAAGGATTTATACCTTAACAGTCAGCAAAAACAAGCAAATAAGAAATGAAAAAATTTTTAAATACTCCAAAATTTGATGTTTGATGAAATTTGATGAAATCAATTAAGAAATGTGATTTTAATTGATTTGCGAAATAAGAAAAAATTACTGAAATAAGTTTAGATATTTAATTCAATAGCATTTTTCGGAAGTGCAGCCAGTTTAATAGCTTTGGGTCTGATGAATCCAGAATACAAATTAATTTGTGTTAGTTTGCTTGCTTTATCAATTGGATTTCTTGGATTTGCGACTGGAGGATTTTACAAAGTTAGTTTATAAAATATTTCAAATGTAATGTTTAAAAATGTTTTAAAAATAATGCGGAATAATGACAAATTAAAATTGCTTTAAAAATTGTTAAAGAATGGAAATAATGTAAATCTAAATTGAAGCAAATTAGGAAAGTTGTGGATAATTGTAAAGCCTGGTAAAGTGGAAATTTATTGGATAACCAGGTGCCAGATTTATTTATTTAAATTCTCTTCACCTTCAAACATGGCAAAATTTGGTGGAAAGTTCTCTCTTATAAATTTGTAAAATATAAATATATAAAATATAAATATAATTCGATAAACATAAATATAATATATAATATATTTGTAAAATATAAATATGTAAAATATAAATATAATTAGATAAAATCAATCCAGAAAATGAAGCTAAAAAAGTGTGTTTATTGTCTTACTATCGTTATATGTAGTGCATTCTGGTTCGCCAAAAAGTGGAATTTTTTTTCAGTCTGGCCCTCTTATTGCCAGACATTATGCGGGATTTGTTACTGGCAATTTATCATTGGCTGTTACATTAACGATGTTACTGGTGCCACTTCTTGTGTCATATGTTGCGCCTGATAATTCTCCAGAACAATGGAGACAAGTAAAAAATTTGAAATTTAAATATTTCAGTGAAAAAAATCACTTAGAAATAGAAATTCTGCCTAAATAGAAGGAAGATCTGCCTAAATTTCCAACCATGAAAAATTACTGGATGAAACAAATTGTTGAATTATTGGTAAAAAAATTCTCTCTTATACTCTCTTATAAATTTATTCTTAAATATAAATATAATTCGACAAAACCAATGCAAAAAATAAAGCTAAAAAAGTGTATTTATTGTATGTATGATATGTTTATTTTAAAAGAGAAAAGATTAGTGAAATCCATGACGGCAAAATCTTAAAACTGTTCGGATTTTAGTTCGGATTTATTCCAGCTAAGACCGTATTATAATAAATTGGGTTCCTTGATAATTACTTCTTTTTGATGATCGTAAACTTGAAAACTGCGAATTCACTTTTTTTTATTTCCTTAAGTGACTCTCTAATAAAAAGACATTATAGCCAGCATAACCAGCCAAAGGGAAGAAATGAAAGTTATTGGAAGAAAATGGATTCCATGGATGAAGATCAAACTCCGTTTCAATCCTTTATCTCAATCTATTCAAATAGTTTTTTCAGGTATTTTCGATATGTGCTGCTGTTCTCATAATAACAAATATAATATTCGTTATATTCGGTTCAGCGAAATTATCTTCTTGGGCAATATCCCAGTCAGCAATGCAATCGCAGATGAATTCAACACGCTATACAAATCGTAATAGCAGTAATGATAAGGGTGATAATGATAAATAATAATATTGATAAGAGTGGTAAGAGTGATAGCTAGTTATTATTATAGTACTCTATTATGTTTTAGCAGAGAGAGTCTTGATCCATAGAACCATTTACTGAGAAAAAAGTTGGCACTATTGAGAAAATAAACTTAGTTCTGTGCAATTACTTAAACTGCTGTATATTCTAATACGGCAATATATGATTTAAATGAACTTTGTTGTCAGTTATTTGAGCTGATAAAATATTTTTGCCAAATTCGTCGTTCTAATGAATCGTTCAGGATCGTCCTCATACTGAGGATTCATCGGAATTTCCGTCCTTTCTGAAAAAGTTTGTGCCATGCAAGGAGATAGTACAGCCAACCAAACCAGAAATGATAAGTACTAATGAATTAAGCAATATATAAACAATTTGAAAGAAATTTATAAATATTATTCGCTTTTATTTCGCTTTATTTAAAAAAGTGTTCCAAATTATTTAGTTTTCTTCAAATTATTTTTTATTTATCAAAACAGTATGTATTGCTTCTTTAAAAAAAAAATTCTTTTTTTTTCTTTTATATTAATAATTTCAATAATTTCTTTCAATATAATTTCAAAAATTTGCATGAAAAATCGAGGGAAGATTTGCTTTTTAAAAACACTTCATCATATTTCAATTAATAAAACATCTAAAGAAAATAGAAGAAAAATTTGAACTAAGAAGAGAACCGAATCGAAGCACTATAACATAGAAAGGAAGAAAAAAATAAATTTTTTTTCATAATCATTCTCATTACGCGATGTAAATCTTCAAAAAACTGAATCATACATGGGTTGCGACAATGCTTCCACACTTTGCATTTGCATTTGTCTTCTTGATACCATTTTCTTCGGCTAACATGATAACACTTCCACTCTGCTCGCTCTCGCCTGGTATCATCGACTGCCTTCCCTTGCAGCAATATTATCTCCACCTGATACAGTCGCTACAAAACTATTCCGTACTATTTCTCTTTTTATTTACCTTTCTATGGAATTAATTATTCTTATCTCTGTATTATATCTGCTTTATTAGTTATTCGTTTATTTTATAACTTATTCGGTCTTTAGGTGGTTCAGCGATAGTTAAACCTAGACGATGGGAAAAAAAGTGGCTTCAATTACTCTCAGGAAAGTATCGAATCGGCCAACTTAGAAACGCCTTATTCTTGTAATTAGTGGAGCCTAACCAATAATAGTGAAAGTTGCTGGGCTATTAATATAAAACCTAATATCATCAAAAAAACACAGTATCAACAAAAATACAACAGTGAAAGTGGATTGAGGATTTAAATAATGGAAAATTCAGTTTTCGAATTGATTTCAAACTATTAGATGCTGATGGAACAGAAACATAACAAGCAAGTGAAAAATTTAATTTATGAGGCATCACTATAGTCTTATAAAAGGTTTCACTATCTTCAATCCATTGGCTATTATTATTAGGTTTATTATACGGCAACCTAATTAACATAATTAAGAAAATAAATAGGCAAACTACTGTAGTAATATTTTTATAGTATTTTATAGGTGTAATTAGATCTTGTTTAATTTATTCTTTTTTCTATAATCAGATCATTAAGTTTAACACATAAACAACAAGTTCGAAGTTTGATTCTGTCTTTTGCTTGGCTATTTGGGATTAGAATTTGGATCCAAGATATTTAAAGTCGGGCACTTCCTCAACCGGCAATGAGTTGATAAAAATTGGTATTTTATTAAAAATAAGTATTCAGCTTCTTGTATATAAGAAGAAAAGATTTTGGTTTTGTTTGCACTGACCCTAAGTCCAATTCTCCAGTGCTGACGCATTGTCAACTACTTTACTCGCTATAACCAAAAGAGATTTCACAGATTGCCTTGATTTGAATCGTTAAGATATTTATTGTCGTGATGTACCTCAAACTTGGCTAATTAAACCTTTATTTAAAATAAAAATATAACAAAATAATAAAATTAGATGACGATATATTATAAATGACAAAAACAAAAAATACAACCAAACAAATTACGTTAAACAAATAGTAAATTCGCCAACCAACTCCCTCCACCCATCAATCACTGTTAAACGTAATCGAATTGAATTGTGCCCAAAAAGATCGAATATAAAACCGCGACCGCCGCTATGCTTTGATTGGTCCCTCAATCGATTAATCGATTCTGCTCATTTCTGAGCATTTCGTCATAATCCAATCTATCGTATATTGTAAGAGAAAGGACACAGCGTTGACGGAAATCAATTTTCATTTTATTTCAAGGATCAGACAATTCCCCATATACACAAATCTGTGCCAAGGCTAATAAAATAAAATAAAATACTGCTAATAAAATGTCTTTATGAACGAATGATCTTCTCTGGGACACCATCATATTTCATTACTTTCCAGAGCGCTGCTCTATCAATTGAATCGAAGCAGCTGCAAAATCGATAAAACAAATGACAATGGGTTGCTGAAGCAATGTTCAAACACTCTTCTTAATGTGAATATCTAGTCAGTAACCACGTATACCGGTCTAAATTCAGCTTGGTTAAGGCTATTCTGCTGTCCCGTACTGCCATAAGTTTACTGAGTAAAAAAACAGTAAAAATTTTCGTTGACACATCTAATAGATTGATTTCTCGAAAATTGTCGCAGTACATCCTGTCACCTTTCTTAAGAATTGGGAGTAGAATTGCTTTGCTTTAGTCATCTGATAAAATTTCCTATACCAGTGAATACATTTGTTGAAGGTGAATTATGAATAATGATGCGAACATTTGAAGAGTTCGGCCCAAAGACCATCTTCTCCCGGAATCTTCTTGGCTTATGGATAAAGGAGATTATTTCTTCTTCTTCTGTTGGCGATCTGTTCGCAATTGCAAAAGTATGGTTCACGAACATATCAGTTATGTCCAGGTCAACAAATGGCGCATCATGGTTAACTTTAGATTTCTATCTTATGAGGCGATTTTTAATACTCTCAACATGCACACCATTGCTATCCCTTACCAATTCATTGATCGTTTCCCATGGTATAGTTGCTTTATGAAAAAGGCAGAATAGTTTCCTATTATCAGCTAATCGAGCCGCCCTCTTCATTCTCAAAGCCATTTCTGTCCCATTGTACTGCTGTCGTTGCAATTTTCTTCGAAGCATCCGGTAGTCAGAATCTCCTGACATTCGTGCTTTGGCATCGTTTTTAGACAGTTTGACAATTGCTTCCGGTACCCAACTAGCACTTCATACTAGTATGTACTAGCGTGGAAGCGGCTGACTTTCGGACCATCCCTTTAGTTTGGACCAGTATTCATTTGCCGTTCCAGAAAAATCATTGATATTTACACCATTGATGTGCTTCAATAATTCGGTTTGAAATGCGCTCACCATAATGAATTTTTTGAGATAGTTGAAAGATCTAGGAGGATGCTATTTCTTCCCAATTGTCAATTTTATGCGGATCTTGACTCGGACCATAACATGATTCATGAAGATTGAAAATCAGAAGGATTCGGTGGAGGGAACATGAGGGATGAGAGATTGATGGGAATTTGGCAAGTAAAACAGTTTATTTATTTATTGAAAAAACCAGGGCGACAACGCCATGTGCTTGTATTAATGACAGCACCTAAAATGACAAATAATAATTAATGATAAAAGAAAAGAAAAAGAAAATGCGACAAAAATTAACAATTTAAAGAGGAAATTACAAAATAACTGTATTATATATAATCGGATGATAAAAATCGAGATTTCATATTTCCTGCATAATGTAAACTTTTTAAATAATATCATAAATGATATTATCTAATCTTCCTTTAAAGATAGCTATGAAGCACAAGCCAGAGAACGATGAAGCATAAGCCTTATCTTTCGGTAATTTTAATAGTAATTAATAGTAAGAATAAAGAAGTCATGAATCCTTAGTTTAGTTTTACACATAGGTTTTAGCAAATTTAGTTCTTGTTAGCCCATTAGTTCTTGTTGGATTTAAATTTAACCTAAAATTATAGTATTTTGAACAATTTAGTTTAACCATACAAAATCTTATAAATATAAATTAAATCTTGTTTAATACGACGAACTAACAGAGAATCCAAGTTATATTGTAGATATTATATTTTATAATTAAAATTGCTGTTAGGAGAGAGACCTCGTATCTTTCAATTATTTTACTTGATTTGTGATATCTTGGGGAGTAACAGGTAGTCTTGTAAGATGGGGCGGAACGAACGCTTTGTACATTTTGATAAGAAAACCTTCAATTTCTTTCTTAAGCGAACGAAAAATAAAATTTATTATCTTTGAGGATTTCTTTACCACGATTCTGCACTGAAGGTCAAAATCGAGATATTCATCCATGATTATTCTAAGATCGGAAATCGGAAATTAATCTTCTGAATATATTACCATTAATGAAAAGATTAGGAAGATCGAATCCTTTAGAATTGATCTGAAGAACTATGCTTTTGAAAAAAAAGGGTAATGTGCCTGTCATATAGTCAATTGGCTATTTTGTTGAGGTCATTCAGTAGTGGAAAGTAGTGCAGACACGTTATAGTTATCCGATCTTCCATGAGAGTAAAAAATTAAATTTTATAATAATCGGCATAAAGATAAATGGTAGAGTTTAGTACCACTTTGATGACATCATTTATATAATAAAAAAAACAATGGCACAATACAATTACCTTGTTTGAGGAATGCCAGATTCAACAGGTGCCATGTTAGAAAGAATGTTATTGACAAATACAGCCTGTTGGCGATTTTTTATGCAATCTGACACTTAGTTATACAGGTTCCCTGTAATGCCATAACTATTAAGAGTGATAATATGATATGGGAAACAGTATTAAAAGCCAAGTCTAGGTACAGAACTGGTACTCTTTTTCCATTGTCAGTTGATATGATTAATCGGAAAGATCTGCCAATATTTATGAAAAAGTAAATTTTTTAAAGTAATTAATTAAATTTATTAAATTGAATTAAATTAAATTAATTAAATTAAGCAATTAAATTTTTTTCGTAGAAAAGCCATGCTGATAGGAGGATATGAAATTACTGGCATCGAGACAAGTAAGCAATTTGTTGCATACCAATCTTTCGAGTACCTTGCTACCAACACATGTTAGGCTAATAGGCCTGTAATTAGAAGGGTCATAGGTGCTTTCTTTTTTATGAATGAGAATTATATGAGACAATCTCTAAACTTTGGGATTAAGGCCTTCATAATATTTTTGTAAATTAAAAATAGGGTAAGACTCAGAGAGACTGCATATTTTTTATAAATTATTTGTGGAATATTATCGGGACCAGCTGAAATGGACGTCTTAAGTCTATTTAAGGCATCATAAACATTTAGTAGCGTTTTCGATTTACGTTAAAACAAGAAGTATGAGTATTATCGTCAACAAATATTCTAGAAAAATGTTGATTAAATATACTTGCAATATCAATATCAGAGGTGATCACATTATCATTATCTTGTAGAATTATTTGTTTACATGGATTTGCAAATTTTCTTTTAATGTAAGTCCAAAAAGAATCTCTATTGACATTTAAAAGTTGTTCTTTACTATTTAAAAATAATTATGAATGGCGCTATGGAAATTTTTTAAGCATTCTTTATATGCAGAGAGGATATTTGGCAATTTGGTTAATTTGTATTTATTATAAAGCTTCTTGAAAATTTTTTTAAAGAGATTTTAGAAAAATGGGAATCGGCATAATGCTTTTTTCCTTAAAGGGATATATTGCTCTATAAGATATAAAATGCTATTAAATTAACTTTTCCATCAATAGTTAGATAAAATAAGAAATCCTAGTTTATTTCAGCAAGGATAAAATTAATAATTTTATATTTTTAAATAATTCTTTTTCCTCCAAATGGTTCACATTCAAAGAACAAAACCTTTCTATGTCTCATATCTGGGTCACTTCAAAAAGACCGTAAAAAATTTTCGTCGGCCACATAACCATTGAAGCCGACCATAGCTGTCTTTTATTAATATTCAGCTTTACTGGCTACGCTAGCCGAGAAAAAAAATCAATGTGAATATGCTCTGGGTTTGTTAGTATTAATAACGCTATCAGTTGGCTATCAGTTGTGGTTTGAAGAGGTTATTTTTCGTAAATTTTTATTTGAGGTTGAAGCTAGTGAAAATAAACCATATTTTTGATTCAAGGAAATGTGGAACTTTCAGGGAAAATGATGGATTCCGTTGGTAATCAAGAGCATTCATCGCAATTACCATACCGTATGGAGTCGTCACCATCGTTATGCCCAACTTCATCATATTCTACAGATCAACAGCGGAATTATTTATGGCAACAATATTCTTCATCGAATCAGTTTATCGTTGAAAATCCTCAAATATACATTGGTTTTATTTATATCCTAATTTATGACCTTAGTGAAGCTATTTACTCCCAATAACTGTTTAAGATTTCTTATATTGGCGAACTTGGGTGTCATTAAATTTAATTGGAATCAATCACTAAATTTATTCGACGCAGATATTTTATTGGTAAATGATTAATAATCCTCTTGGCTCGGCACTTTAGTGCCGTCTTTAAGCTGATTAGAAATTAACGAATCAACGGTGTCAGATAGGTTAGCGACGAATTTAGTTATCTCTAACCATATTGTGTGGCCGAAATTCAGAGGCTCGCAATTTTTTGATGAATTTAACTATCAAATATGATAGTGAATTTAAAAATATTGAAGGCGGTATCCAGTCATTTGATAATATTTCTTCGAATTCACAAAATATTCGAGCGGAAAATGATAATCGCACATTTATGGATCGATCTTCTACGAATTGTTCTAGTTAGTTTCTCTTGTAGAATATTTAGTAAAACCTAGCTTTTGACTAATAAAATAAATAGAAGATATGAGATTTAGATGACCGTTAGCAATCGATAACGCAGATACTTTAATTAATAGTTTTCCATCCACTTAAATATTCCGAATGGTATTGGATTTCAGGCTTTGCAATCAAACTCTAAGATTAGGCATTAAAGGCCTATGATTCCCTATGAAAATCTCTCGAACTATTCAAACTAATTTATTCATTAGTCGCTAAAATAAAAGATGGTTGAGGTTAGATTATAAGATTTTAACTGGAAATCTATTGTGGGGAATTCCGATCTCTAATATGAATCAAATTTCACAAATTTTTATTTTGTTGTGAAATATCAAGTAATGCTTGTTCTAAAAATTTTAAAAATTCTATTCATCGACCATTTGTTTAATTTTGATCAAAGATTTGAGAATTTATGGAAATATTAATGGTTATTTTATGGCAATCTTTCATAAATACTTAATAAAATACTTACTTATACTTACTTATCTTTCAATACTTTCATGATTTTTAGAACACGGAAATAACTATCAAAATTTGTTGTCATATGCCAAACCACAAGACCAGATGCATTATGGCACGAGTCAGTTTAGTCAGGCTCATTCGCAAATTTCATCTGTAAAGATTATTGATGTTTTCGGTTTGATGTATACTTATATTTATATAAGCAATCTTTTTTAAATCTTTTAATTAGTTTAATTTTTATTTTCTTATTTAAATTATTAATTGGATTTTGGGATTTAAGCGATTTATTTAATCACTCACTAATCAATTGCTATTTGTCTTTTTAGTCTTCTACGGTTTAATAAATATTATCTTTATTTCATTTAGGTCAATTTTTCATTTTTTTTCCAGCTCGATTAGATTTTCATTTTATACTATTTTGCACTATTTTGAATGCTGATTTTCGTTTACTTATGCACCAGTTTGATATTAATGACTGTGTTGAATTAATAGAGTTAAATTTCTATTTAATTTTTTATTCACCTAGTTTTTAGCAAATTTCAAATGTAAACGCTAGCGATCAACTGAAAATTAAACAAAGAGATATACATTTTTCAACGAATTCAGCGGGTACAGAAGGTCCATCGTTTTAAATTTGCTTATACTGATTTTATCCATTCATTAAAGGAAAAAAAGTTCTAAAAAAATTTGCTTATTGAAATCGGAGGTTTTATGTATTTTAAGTTGGTATTTATTGCACTTTAAAGAATGTGGGTACGTATGGAAGGATATTTTGAGTAGAATAGCAGCTTTTTTCTTGATATTTGAGAAAGAATTTTGGTATATATAATGAACTGGTGAAGCATAAAGAAAAATGATCGTTTACTCTATGCAATTTAAATTATGTTCTTGGCCTTATGTGCCGTTTGTTGGGTAGTCAAATTAAAATTAGGGAAACTGAGAAAATATCTAAAATAAGGGTATCAATTAATTTTATAAATTAAATAATGAAAAAAAAGTAATTATTTATACACTCAATTTAATTATTTATACACTCAATTTAAATTTGGTCATAAACTTTTAAAATAGTTGACTGCTGATATCCGAATCGGTTGATTTTTATTTAGTATGGTTTATTTAATATTTTTAATATTTTTTATCCTTTTTGATTTTGCATGTAAATTATTAGTTTAGTTGATTAATCACTGATTAAAAATTATATTTAACGCTAAAATCATTGAAAATTTTTAAGCGACAGTAACAACATTGAACCATTTGAAAAAAATTCCGCTAAAACAAAAGTTAAATGCTGAATATCATGCGATGAAGGCGAATCGCAAGCGAGTGCAGCCTCAAATTTTTCCGACTGTATTTGTTTCCCATTATAATAATAAACGTCTATTAAAATAAACATATAAACATCATAATAATAAATAGATATTTATTATTTTAGGCCACCAATTGTTTTTATTGTTTATTTTTTCTTTATTATAGAATGTAAATGTATTTGTAATAAATTTAAACGAAATTCATATTTTTAAGACATTTTGATCAAAATTTATTGAAAAAAAGTAGTAATGCTCACTTCCCAATGCTCAAAAGTCTTGTCTTATGCTTAAGATTATGCTTCTTGTTTGTCTTAAGATTAAGGTTAGTAGTGAAAGTTATATGGAAATAAAAATATTTTTATTTTTAAATATTTTTCGCATTTTGCAGGAAGAAAGTCGAGCTTTCGTGAGAAGTCTTCCACCAATTGAATACGAACCTACTCAAAATTGGATTCACATTACATATTATGAATTGAGTAAAAGGGTATTATAGATTCTCAGTAGTTTTTATGCTATTAAATCAACAATTTTATTATTCACTGTAGAATTACTCACTTCTTAATAGATTCATGAGTTGCTGTTATTGTTTTTTATAAAAAAATTTTTCGTTAGGAAAAGATTTTTTATATCCTTATTATCAACATAACTAATGAAAATTACATATCAAAAGGTCTTTTTGAAGTTTCTCAATTCGAATGCTAATTTCTAAATTTTTCAAAATTTTTCTCAAAACAATTTTTATCAACATTTAGCCGGCAACTTCTTTACAATTATTTAGAGAACAGTTTTTAATTCAGGTTGGTGATATTTTTAAAGGCACCACGAATTGCGTAACGGTCGATGGTTTTTGTGCGCCATCAGAAGCAGAAAGATTTTGTTTAGGCGCGCTTAGTGGTGCAGATCGAAGTGTACGAATGACCAATGTTAGGAGGCAGATTGGTTGATTTTGATTTTGTTTCTTTGCCATTTGATATTTAATAATTTTTAACTTATTTAATCTTTATTTTTAACTGAATTTTTACTGAATTATAAGTTACATGAACTTTAGTAATATTTATCGAAACAGTTTTATTTCATTTATGGAATAATTTTTATATAAAAGTCTTTTCTCATTCCCCGGTAGGTGGAAGAATCATCCTAAATCCTAGAGGCCCGTGAAATTAACGATTCTGCACAGTATATCAGTTATTTCTAGCAGTGCACTTTTCTGGGCAGAGATTTTCGATATGTTGTTCTTAGAATCAACTGAAGCCACTTTTCTAGTTTAGGGAATCAGAGTTCCAAGTGTTCTAATTAATACTGGAATTTTTTTGGTCTTAACCTTCGACATCTTCTTTAATTCCTTTTAGCTCCTGATATTTCTTAAATTTCTCATATTCCTTCCTCCTGGCTTTGCCGTGGCAATTTTTTTTTCTGGTCGTTCTCCAATGCCTGTTGATGCTTTAGACATTCTCTGATGTAGTCAAAAAAGGTTTTGAACCTATAGGAGGACCAGCGATATATGGTCCTAGACGGTGGAAAAGGGAATGGCATCAGATCGAGCAGCTTGAAAACGTCTTACTATCGTCAGCCTAACAAGTAATGATAAGGGCTGTTAAAAGAAGAAGAAAAGGAAGGAAAAATACTGGTGAAATTGCAATGAAAAAAAAACTGTTTGTTGTTTATAACCAAAACTTTTTGATGCTGAATTATTATGATGACTTGAAAAAAGAATAAATATAATAAATAAAAGATTGATAATGATAAATATATAATATAATAAAATATATTTATATATTTGATATATTTAAATACATAATATAATATATTTAATATATATATATATATTAAATCTTATGTATTAAATCTTGTATTATATATTAATATATATGTATTAAATCTTATTTTGTCTTCTATGTCTTAACCTCGGATTCTATCAGAAGTCTGGGATTCCGCGCAATATCTTAACTAATCCTAATAGTCTTTTGAACATGAATAGAGATCTGATATTATTCATGGAATCTGTTGGAGCTACTTTTCCATTCTGAAAGTCATATTCTCTAATACTTATACCATTGGACCACTTTCATTTTTCATATTTTCTTTAATTCTTTCAGCACCCAGTATTTCTTTAGCTTTTCATATTTCTTCTTTCCGATATTCCTATCACTCGATACTGGTAAATCTATCACCAGTGCTGACACCAGATATCAACACTGGGTTTCTGATTCTTATTTTACCCTGATGTCTGGTTTCATTTATAGCCATGACGCTTTTATCATTTGAAATAAATAGCTTAATAAGGTTTTATCTTCAATACAGTGGAAAAATAAAAAGAGAAATATAATAAGATATATTTTATATCTTATATATATTTTTTTCTAGGGATTGAGCATATATTCTTGTGCTGCCATAATCAGTATTATTTTTTTCTTCAGCCCAATTTTTTTCCAGTCACTAACACGATTTCTTAAGGTTAGCCACATTAAGGATCTCTACTTCTCGATGTTGCGTCTCATCGAAATTCTTGCCTTGGTATCTCGCTTCCTTAACTCTTCAATGTCTTAATGCCTTCTCTCAGAGCACCCAGCTTACCCTTTGGTATATCATATTCCTGAATACTGCAGGCTTCGTTTAAGATAATAGCTTTAACACTTACCAAGTCCATTTCCTTTCTTCCTTTCTTCCTTGTTGATTCGCAGTCTTTAGGTGTTGAACTTGGAAATTTCTGTGCTTTATGAAGAACTTCCAGGTCTTCACATGTCTTTGACTATTTCACTAAGCTAACTGCTTCTCTGGCAGTCCCTATATTTGTGGTTTAGAATTGTTTTTTCCATGTAACTGATCCTTCAAGATCTTATTCTTTAGTAGTAGTTACTTAGATGTTGCATGTAAAGCTAATCTGATATGCTCTACTGGCAGATCCACTCCATCAGCCGTAGCTGCTTTCCCTCTTTGCCATCTGACCACATTTCTCCAGTCTGAATAACTTTCCATACTCTTTTTTTTTATTAAATAAGTGAATCAATGCCTCATTCGCTTTTAGCATGTGATGTTCATTGTTCATCTATGCAGAGAAGATGGAATATTGTTTTGACCTTGAACTCGTATCCATATCCACTCTTGTGATTATCTACCTGAGGAAGTTTAGACATATGCAGAACAATAGTGGAGACAATACGCTACACTACTTGTGGGAAGATGGATAAACAGACAACATCCATTCGATATGTTTAAATATTATGTTATATATGTGCATACATTTAAATTTTTTTGCATATTTTAACGTAATTTGAACTTTTCAGGGAACGGAATTATAATTTATCGTGATGGCAATGATGTTCACTTGAAAAGTATTGCAGAGACTCAAATATTCATTCAGTGCCCAAATTATGCATCTAAATCCGGTGATCATCCTTCTACTGTCTATAGATTTGCTTGCGGTAATTACCATTTTTGACTGTTATTTGAATGTTATAAAAAAAATATAAGGATTCAGAGTTGAAAATACTCAACTCGAACTTTGATAAGAGGCGAAGCACATACAATCGAATGATGCAAATCACATTTTTTACACAATCATTTCATATCTGCGTTTAATTTAGCGATCTCTCATTCCTTAATTTGATGTTTCTTTTTTTTTAATTTTAATTTTGGCTCTCAGTTTGCTTTTTTTCAGGCCAAGGTATGTTGATATTCAGTGATGAGTTTTTTCAAAAAAAACTGAAAGAAAATGCTGATAAAGGATATGACGCTTTACATGCTTTGCAGGTAATTTTGCTGAAATGTTTTTTTTTATAGATTTCCGTTTAGTTGAATTGAGTACACTTTTTTTTTCAAAAAATTGATACATTTTAAACTGCTTTCCTAAAAATTATTAATCTTTCTTTTCCTTCCTAAATTTTTAGTCGTTAAGATCCATTGAATCTATTTCTTATTAAGCAATATTTTAATTTATAATTTTTTAGTTTAATAGAATTTTCTTCCATTAAATGCATGACGACACTTCGCTTATCGAAAATACTGAAAATTTTTTTTAGCATTTGTGCCATACACGAGTCAGTTTCGTAAAAGGGTGGGGTCAACAGTATAAGCGTCAGACAATAACTGAAGCTCCTTGTTGGATAGAAATACAGTTGCAAGCTCCACTCCAAGATCTGGATCGTGTTATTGGCACTGTAGTCGCTGATGAAGAAGTTCATAGTTATTCTACGTAGCTATTGAATGAGATGATTCATTCAAATAATTCAAATAATATTTTGAATATTAATTCATTGATTGTTTATAGGATTGTAATTAAGCAAAAGAATGCTTTTGAGCTATAAATTAAGGAAGATATTTTCTAAAACGATTTTACTGTTTTAAAGTAGTACAACAATAAATCGTTGAATAAGATAAAGACATTCCTTTGTCGTCTGTCAAAATAAATATATGCCGAAATAATAATTTGCAAGAGAGAAAAATTTTATTAGTGAAATTCAGTATGTAATTGTTTAAAATTGTTATTTTTTTTGGTTCTTATTTATTATGGGTAAATAGATGAATAATTTAATAAAGCTAGTGCATATCGCTCACACCATTTTGGGCTACATTCCATGAATTCAAAGACTTCTAAATATAGGGAATTTTTCATTTCATTTATGTGAGCTATTAGGCCGAGAGTTGTCATGCTTTCTTGCGGTCAATTTAATGTTATAGAAATAAGTAGTGAGATTAGAGTTTCGAAAAGATTTTTAAATGCCACTTTGCCAAAAAGGGAGTAGGGAGTAAGGGAGTAGGGAGGGAGGGAATAGTGTGCCTTTAAATTTCAAACTGTGCGGTGATTCGTGGATTCCTGAAATTTTTGAGGTTCTTTTTTTCCTAATGCGCTTCTTAATTTCCGGAAATCGTTTTTAATTTAGAGTATTTTCAAAGAAATTCTAATATATAAACCAATTGATGTATGTAAATTCGCTGGATTTTAAGAATTAAAAAATTCTCAGTTTTCCTCGATTAACGAATAACTTTTAGCTGAAACGATTTAGCAAATGAATTTCCATGAATTTTTTGATTTTATTTGCGCTTTTGCAATTTTATTGTGAAAGCGATAGAAGGTTTTGCTCGTTCCAAACTTATAAAACAATAATTATCATAAAGTTTTTTTTTCATTGGCATCCAAAATAATATTGTTTCAATATTATTGTTGGCCAATATAATGTCTTTTAATATTTAGCGTTTGAGATGGCAAGAAATAGTTTTAAAACAATTTAAATTCGAGCAAAACCTCAATGTTGAAAAAAATGGGGAAAATTAAAAAGAGAAAAAACGCAAAAAATATTATGCGTGATTTGCAAGGAACAATAAGCCTGTCGGATAGGGTATTTTTCATTCATATATCGTCTTTCAAATAGAAAATTTATTCCATATTCATGCGTTAAAATTTTTTCGATTATCGATGAGTAAATTCAATTCAGTCGAGAATTACTCCAATGAATTAATTAAATAATCCACTATTCTCATAATCTATTATTTTCATAAAGGAATGAATGAACTAAACAAATTTGCTTGCTATTTTGTGAGGAGAAGCCATCTTGTCCCAAGCAATTTGCTTATCTTGTTAATGGTGCGAATGAAAAATTGGAGAGTTGCTGCGACTGAGCATATGTTAGAGGTCGACATTTAGCTAGCTGGTTATTTTCAAGTGATTATAATGATGACACCCTGTCCTAAAAACCTAAAACCTAAAGGAAACATCGGAACGCTTATGGGCTCTTCAAACCATGCGATTACAATCCACACTCATTTTAAATATCGTGTGGATTTCGAGATCCGTCTTCTTTACTTTGAGCAATTATTTATCATTGTAGTATATCGTATAAATCGGGGCGAAATGGCGTGAAATCGCGAAATGGTTAAATGGTATATGCCCACTTTAACGGGAAGTTCTGCAATATCTCAGTACACATGCATAATTGTAGATGATAAGCCGACTGTGACAAGGAAAAGTTCTATGCGGAACTTCAACTGCTAATAATCGCTACCGAAATATAACTTGGCCACAATCAGGGAAGATTAGAATGCGGATGTAGATTATGATGCCACGAGGAATCCTATAGTTGGCAAATATGGCATCAGGATTTGGCACGCCAATGGAGAATTCGCTTTGCCGAATGGCATGAACCTTTTGTTACGCATGCATCGCATGCATCTAATACATAGAAAATATCTACTTACGTGGAAGTATTCAGATAACCAACACTCATACCAGATTATTTATATTTTATTTATATCTAAGTTATTCACCGTTGAAGGAATTTCATACTAGGTAATCGTTCCTATTGAAACGTTGAAAATGGTAACTTTTATGGAACGGACCGTATTATAATTCGAGCCGAAATTTGCATAAAACTGGCAACACGCAAGACATAACGCCTAGCAAGATCATTGAATTAAAAGATAAACTAAAAAATATTCGGTATAAGAGCATTTTCGAACCGAATTATTGAAGCATATAAGAGAAATATCAATGACATATTTAGAACCGCAGATTAATACTGACTGGCCCAAAGGCATGTCTTCGAAAATAAGCCACGCGATAAGGAAGTACGCTGGTTGGGTATCGGAAGCACTGTCCGAAAGTGCTGCTAAAGCACGAATATCAGGAGATCCTGATAATCAGACGCTAATTTGGGGATAATATAAAGTTTTCATCCAGACTAAACTCTTCAAGTGTTGTTCATCGTCCTTCACAACGCACCTTCAACAAATGTACTCTCTCGCTTGGAAAAAAGAAATAATACCAGATGACTGGAGCAAAGCAATTCTACTCCTATTTTCTAAGAAAGATTGCCGGACATAATGTGGCAATTATCGAGGAATTAGTCCACTATCTCCGGAAATATCTTTGCTTCTTTTCAACTGAATGGACTTATGCTAGTACGAGGCAGTAGCATATGTCCCAATAAAACTGGATTCAGATCGCGATTGCACGATTTACCAGATATTCACGTTAAAAAGGATATTATTAAATATCCTTCAAATATCTGCAACCCACCTGACATCTATTCGACTTTACTACAGTTGCTTTCGATTAAATCGATAGGGCAGAGCTCTGGAGGGTGATTGAACATAACGATGTTCAAGAGATATGATCATTCGGCTCATAATGGCATTTTATCGTTATGTGTATATGGGATGCTCCTTCGAAACAAGAACTGATGCCCATCAACGTTCTTTCGTTCTTTCCCTACAATATTCAACGTAATAAACTGGATGATGGACATCGATTGTCACAAGTGAAGAGATGTAAAAATCGGTCCGGAGATCTTGAATATTAATAATGTAATCCTTTTTGCTGATAGTGATGACGAGATGCAAAAATATTGCTTTACAGTTTCATTAATTACAACGATAATCGGGCTTAGAAACTAAAAAATAGATATTTTATAGAGAAAAATATATCTATTTCTATCAATTCATTACTAGTATTATCCAATTTTAAATATCTTTGATCCGCTCTAATTCCAAATGATTAGACAAACGCCTATCCAGATAATGATAGCTAGAGAAATTCGTTCTTCCGATTGACGAAACCTTTATGGAGTGCCATGAAAATCACTATAAAGACGAAAGATTACGTCTATATAACTATCGCTCAATCTTGTTATATGGCTGCGAAGCAAGAACGATGAGAGTGGAGGATTATTAAGAAGCTATCTGCCTTTGACCACTCAGATACATTACAGGGGTTCGCCGAGCGGATAAAATTTCACATGATTGCATCCACCTTAAATACCAAATAATACCATCATAGAGCGTCGTTTTCGTTAGTTAGGGGATATTCTTCGTCGCCTACCACAGGAGTTAAACGTGTTTTGCTACTTGCTAAACGATTTCAAAAGCCAGATGGGACAATCAAGGTCTGGACTGATGTAATGTCTGGTTGATTGATCAGCATCTGCTTATCTATCTGGATGGGCAACTTCCACAAGATCTTATTATTATGATTTTCTGATATGCTCTACTGGCAGATCCACTCCATCAGACATAGTACTTTCCCTCTCTTTACTGCTATTCAGCCATTTCTCCTTTCCAAACTCCTCGCTGATTTGTGTTAAATGTGAATTAATGTGCCATTCGCTTCTACATGTTTTGCTCAATTATTTTTGCTTATTTTTCCATTATTTTAATATTATTGTGTTCTTGAAAACAAATTTCCTTCTAAAAGTCCTTAAGCGAATGTTGCTGGCCCACTTGTATTTACATTCTCGAAGGAATTTATAACGAAGACTTTTCCGCAGTTGAAGAAGTCAGCGAAACCATAAAATTATAATTTAGTTTTCCAAATTCATTATTTCATTTCCAAATTTTTATTAAATTTCGTTGCATTTCGTCGATGATTTATTTCTAAATTTAATTAGTTGATTCCGAGTATTGCCTACTCAATCTGTCACCTCTTATTTATAACCACGTCTCATTCCAATTTTTATACCACTGTGCGCATCCGAACTGCTGACAGTTAGAATCTTCTGAGGATCTGATGTACATGTCCTTGCAGCAGAACTGTTTCTTTCTTGACACAATTTGTTCCTAGCGTGGGATTGGAGATAAATCTTTATTTGTTAACGGCATTCCCTAGTTTTCGAGATGACGTTATTGGTCTTTAGATCCCTGAAATGTATCGATAATTCAGTTTGTATTTACTGTATTCAAATTTCCAGTTTGCAATGATGGAAAAAACATTTTAAAGGACATTGTTTGTTGTGTTGTCAGTTTAATGCAAATTTCTGATTTAACCATAAAATGATGTACCGCTGCCGCTTTAGCGCCACCTCATATTCGACACAATATTCTTTAAACGACGATTAGCCAGAATGCAACCCAGTCTAAACCTAGCTATTTATCCGGAAAATTGCATAAGTTGTGGGTGTTGAAAGTTTGTATTAGTGGGGAAATTCTTTGCTTCTCAGCAAGAAGAATGTGCTTCCCACCTCTGCACCAAATTTTGATGTTGGTCGCAGACCATACGGACGAATTCCAGTCTTTTCCAACGATTACAATGTTCTTTTTTAATAGATCTTTTATCGGCAAGTGGAATTTTTCAAAGAACCTATCTTTTGCAATACCATCCGAATATAGCGAAAAGATATACAAATACATCGAGGCTACAGAATTTTCATTTCAAAAGTTGTATTTAATAATTGGAAATGCATGAATATGGACAATTACCGCTTTATTCCTAATACCCATAAATATTCTGAGTTCACACGTTGCAGTGGCAGTGTGTTTATGGTCCACTGCCATTCGTCTACGATGCAGCCGTATGAATTAATTTCAACAAAATTAGGAATTTAAAGCATTCATTATTGTTTCTCCTTAGCTCCTTTGTATACTTACCAAGACCACTCAAACTAAGCATAGTGCGTAAGAATACGACATAACGCAACCCTTGCCATAGTTTGTCGCATATATTTGGAGTCCAATGCCATTTGTCCATGGTCCAGCCATATTGATTTTAATTACATGTTTATCCCTGCCAAGAAAAAAATCTTTGTAAAACAAAAAATAAAGGAACATTTAGTCGCTTGTGGCTCACCTATGGCCCATAATCAAACTGCCAGTTATTTAGTTTATCCTTTTCTATAAAGCAATTATTTGAAATCAAAGAATAAATAATTATAGAACCATTTGAATTACTAGAATAGCATGGAATTTTAGTTAAACAAGGAGGAAAAAAATTTATAAAATAAAATTGGAATAGGAAAAAAATAAAAGAATTGTTCCACAACAATTTCGGTGGCATGGCATAATGATATAGTTTTATTTAAGAGTTTGCAAACCTCTTATATTTTATATTTTTGATAACGCAGAAGAAATTATTAAATACACCTTTTGTGTAAAAACAGCAAAAACTTTGGCCCGCATGTAAAAAGTAGATAAATGGCTAACACATTCACCATTTCTGATTTATTTACCTGTATAATTAGAAACTTTTTCTTTTTGCCAGGGAATCACTTAGCGATAAAATTACAGACATATATATCCAACAAATGGATTTTTTATCAAATTTCCCCATATTATCAAATGGGGAAAAAGCTGCATGAAGTATTCGCAACATACCTCTTTTTTCCCGGTGTGAACATCGAGAAATGAAAAGAAGTGAATGTTAAAAAACCATCTCCGAAATTGTATAAATTGTATAAATTGTGGTCTAAAGCATCCAAATACAAAGCTGCGATACAATAGAGATACTAACACTTGAGGAAGTGGAAAATCATCATTATCGCCTATCCTTATGAATTTCCGGATCAATTTTGGTCATCGTTAATCATTTAGGATTCGTCAGAGGCAGCAAAGGGGTTTGCTCGAAGGAAGAGGATGCGGAGCAGAGAATTTGGGAGATTTTGAGGATGTTTAAGAAAGCGTTTTGTTCGACGTCGTCGTCGCCTCTTGTTAACAGGCAATGGCGGATGTGAACATTGAAACCACCTATCTCCATGTATTCGGTGCACTCGTCGAAGCACCACTGATCAATTGTATTAATCCGTAAGTTGTAACTGTAACATTTGTACATATGTGTGTACCGTTTCCTTAAAAATAAAGCTTTAATTGGCCAAGATCGAGGTTCCCACATGGACTGATTTGTCTCGGACAACTCGCAGTTGAAATAGGTGACGTCTAGAGACCCAAATATGCAAAAATCCGAAACTAAATGTTTTTTATGAGATGGAGACTAATAATAATTCACATAGCATTCAGAGCAACGTTTAAATAGTAACCAGTTTACAGAACCGACGCTAAGTAACTTGTCAAATTGGAAACTCGCGGGTCCTTTTTCACCTTGCTCAAACGCTTGCTTCTAACGCGTATCCACTGTATTATTATCCACTCTGATAATCTGCTCTTCATAAAACAAAATTAAATTCGATTTTCAAGCAAGCAATCTGTAGAATCGCGTCGCGTTTTGTCGATTTTTTGTCCCAAATTTTTCTTGGCTTTTTAAATTTATAAAATCTCGTAAATAAATTCTACGGTTTAATTTGAAATTTTTTTCAGTAATATAGCAAGATAAGATTACGTTGAATTTAACGATTATTGCGAAATAAAATTAAATAAAATTTTTATTCTGATAAAATTAATAAGTAAAAATAACCTATGCTAATAATGAAATTAAAGTATCAACTGCCAACAAAAATCTTATTTTCGCAATATTTCTAAATATCGCAATACTGCATAAGAAGAATGTAGCATTTCAGCATTTCCGTTACTAATTCCTATCACATGTCCATAAATAATTGAATTGAAAAACGACAAAAAAGTATTGCAATATTAAAAGCTATCCTAATTTCAAAACATTTGCACCAAAATATTCATAACAATTATATGAAGATATTCACAAGATATTTATGATAATTATCCAAAGTGAGAAAAAATTTCTGTAACAAAATGACATAAATATATAGAAATTAGAGAAAAATTTTTATATGAGACACACATTTAAAAAATGAAAATGAAGAAATGAATGAATTAAACTGAAAAAATCGAAAATCTAATTAAATACAACCTTGATGAAAATTGATATAACAATCTATAAGTAACAACTGAATTTTTTTGTAATTTATTTCTCACGTATTCATTTCCTTTAATTTCTTTTGATTTAGAAAAAAGAATATTGGATAGACTTCTCAAATATATATATTTAAATATATATATATTTATATATATAAATATTTAAATGTACTGAAACAGATGTGTCTAACCTTTTGACTTCCATGGGTCGTATTGAGTGATAAGGAATTGACTTGGGTAGCACAAAAGTAATAAAAGTATAGCTAACTAGAAGCAAAGAAAAAAATAGGCAAAAAACTTTACCTATCTTATTTCTATTATATAATAAAAGAAGGTACTAGTAGGACCTTATATTTGCGTGAAACTAATGCAATATCTGGCTCGATGGAAATACCCAGAATTCTCAGTTGCATTACTAGCTATCTGCGACAATATGTGGCCCATGGGTCTTGTACTAAAATATTGAAATGTGCAAAAGGCAAAAATTCTTGATTTAAAAAAATTTGACAAAAAATGATCAAAAATTATTTCCTCACACGTTTACCGCTATTCACAAATCGAATAATATTATCATTATTGATATTCTTGCGTTTTAGAAACATCGTTGAGTTTCTGCTCTAAAAATCGCAAAAAGTTCTCATTTTCTGTAAGATTATTAAATTAATTTTCATTTTGAAAAATTTCAGCAAAGCAAATTGGAAATATTTTTACGATCTTTAGAACGATCTTAACGATGTTTTCAAATTATGACCAGTTTTCAAAATTTATTTCTTGAATTTAAAGGAAACTCACCACACGACTTTAAAAAAAATTTGATTAAATTTATTTATTTGGAAAAAATAGCTAAATACGATAATCAAAGAAATGTGGTTTAAAATGTGTTTCTATTCAACGAATCAATAAAGAAAAAATAAATTAAATTTACCTCTGATCCTTTACAGAAAGAATGAATTTCAGTTCGATCATTATCAGAAAGAGTAAAAAGAACTTCGTCATGCCTTCCTCTACCAATAAAATGTGCATTTTTGCATCGGAACACATCTCTTTCATCCAAAAGAGTTCTAAAAAAACCAAGAAAAAAGGAAAAAAGAGAGTGAAAAATGCAACAGCGACTCATAACAGAGACGAATTTTTTAAAATCCAGAAAACCTCGAGAATAAAACTATTTAGCTTTAGCACTGGAAAACGAATGTTTAAGGTCCTTATCAAATCTTTATCAATGTCAAAGGATGCTTTTAATGCAAAAAAAAACTGGATGAATGAACTAAAAAATAAAATAGACAAAAAATTGACAAAGAATTAAAACAAACTTTGAATTGAGACCTTCATATTCAGCTAATTTGAGGATTTCAAGTGTTTCAAGATGGACCACGTATAAATACGGAGCAGCATAAACTAAAAGATATGATTTCTGTGAAATTGCATAAATTAAATAACAATAACTTAATTAAAAATTAAAAAAAACAGTAATTAACTATACTTTAAAAAAATATAAAGTAAAAGGTAAAATTATCAGAAACCTTCAAAAAACAAAAAAATTTGGTAACAAACCAAATTCTAAAGGAGCTCTAGACCAGTCTATGATTTCAGTTCGAGTTTTGTTACCATCAATATCAATGAATATACCAAAGTCTGCAAAATTTTCCCATGCCACATAAATATTAACTTTTTAACTTTTTAGATGAATAAATCTGTATATAAAACATATATGAACAAAAATGACAGCCAAATGAAATAAAAATGTTAAAAATGTCAAAAAAAGTTCGCAACACGACTTCTTACTGTGAAAAGCTAATAAAAATTCGTTGTTTCCTATCACAGCTGCTGCACGTGGCCAATCGACATGAGCATTAGCAATTAAAAGCGGTCGAACAACGAAAGTTTTTATGTCAACAAAATAAAACTGATCAGCGCCATAAATTAAACCTCCGGGAACTGATAAAAGACAACATGCAGGTTCTTTAGTTTGCAACGACTATAAGGCAAAATTTCAGGCAAAACAAATGAACAGTAATAATTAAAAAAATATTTATTTATCTAGAAATATTTAAATCTTACTGAAGACAAAAACCAGATTTTATTTTTAAATTTTTTCATAATTACTAAATTTGATTCCGAAAATAATGAAAATAAAATATATAAAATTCCATAAATTCCTTCACTACTATTAAAAATTGAAAAAATAATTTAAAAATAACATCAAACTGGGTAAAGATACTAAGGCGAGAATTGAACTGAAGGATATCAATCTTGCACGCATCAGCAATAAACAAAAAGCTGAAAAGAAAAACTATAAGCAGAAGCAATAAATAAGCTAATTTTTGATTGAATTGAAAAGCTAGATACACTTACTATAACTGATTAACAGAATCAGAATAAAGAGTCATGATATGACAAGATGTCACATTGGCTAAAGGAGTAGCTCGAATGGCCATCCCATTCGATTTAAAAATTGCTTTCAAATCAGACATGTGAATAAAAACAAGCTGTCGCTGATTACCACAGATCGCAGCCAACATCTCAAGTTCTTCTATCAATTCCATCTGAAGTATTAATAATTAGAATAAATCATCGCTACAACAAAAATAGAAATAAAATTAATGCGTACATTATAAAAAAATTATTCGATAATAAACATGCAGCTTACATGGTATACGGCAGTGATGCCCATTACAGTGAAAGGAATGTGCATAGGATTGATTTGAGTGACGAATAAACCTTCTTGAGTACCTAATAAGAGCCAGTTTTCGATCACCTGCAAAAAACTGCATTATATATGGTCAATATTCATTGTTTAAAAGTGCAACTTAGTATTGATGAAATTAGCTCCACTGGCTATAAATTCCGAAGCATATTTTCGATGCCATATTCAGAGCACGATTTCTGAAGGTAAGAGAAGCCATTCCTTTTCTCATTGTTTAAACCCATATATCTCTACACTTCCAACTCATATATCAATTTAAAATCACTCCTAATCTTTGCTTAGGCTCCCTTGATTTTTAAGCCATCAATCATAAAGGTAGCGAGATATGCATCAATTTTTGCGACTTAAAGCGAAAAATATAGCCTATGATCAGCACATACAATGCTATGTGACTGGAAGAAATAATTCTCCATTCAAACATTAGGTAGATAATTTCTTATATTTCCTAACCTTATCTACATAATAAGGGACTAAATCGAAGCAAACATTCATTTTAACATTGGCGATTACAACAAGAAAGAACAAAACATTTTTAACTGCAGGGAATGACCATTTCCTGCTTGACCATTTTCATATGAGTAGATTCGATTTAAGATATTTGGAAATTACCAGTTCTTTAATCGATAACGCTTAGATAAATAGTCTGTCATATAAAACGAAAAAATATTTTTTTTACACAGATTTGGAGCATGATTTTTGCTATGTTATCAGTAATATGATCTAAAGTCTATTGTAATTTTTCACGCTTATCAACAAAAATCCTACATAAGTTCTTATATTCAGAGCTCATTCGGATTTCTACACCTTTTTATGGCAACAAGCACTGCTCACAGTTCAGTGCTCTATCGTTTAGTTGAACACTGCATGGAAAAGAAGGCAAGGAAATTAACAAAAACTTCCCAATTCTGCCCTTAATAATATTTAAACAATAAATAAATGAACAAGAAACTAAACGAATTTTCGATATTAAAGAACTACTTTTGAACAATGAATCGTTAAATTAAGGGGAGCATCGAGAGCAAGCAGCATAATACTTCCACTGAATGATACTGAGCGCCGCTGCTTAAACATTCTGCGGTTCGTGGCAGCTTGTAATGCTTGCAACCACCTCTGTTTGGCCTGAATCGTTGGTGCAAGCACGAATAGATTGCATCTGTTAAAATAAATTAGAAATGAAATAATTAAAAATGAACCAAATAAATAAAAAAACCAACAACCAAAACAAATAAATAAAAATGAACCAAAAAAATAAAAAAAATTTAAACACTATATATTATCACTCAAAAATATACCTTTTGATTCGCAATTCGATTAATAACGCGTAACTTTCTGGCGACACACTATTTTTAACAACTGTTTCAGATGCTGGTTGCATATAAATTCTCCACTGTTCTTGGTTCAGGTCGATTTCAAAGATAGCCTGTCCTGTAAATCTCATACATTCATTCAAAAGTTAACTGGACTCTTGATTTCATTGATTCAAAATTAAATAAATTGCGTGTCACAAAACTTCAGCCTCATTCAAATGCAAAACTATTCAACAGAGAAAAATTGCCTTTGTTAATTGGAACTGCAAGACCCTCATTGTCGAAGAAGCGCAGATAATGATTATCTAAAGTGGCCCAAACACTACGCCATCGGTTGGACATTGCCCCATCAGATCTATTAAAAAATAATATTAAAAAACAATTCTTTAAATACTGGAAAAGAAAAGAACTGATTTAAGAATTTTAAATAAAAAGTTAAAATAATTTATGAAGTAACCAACTGAAATGTATAAATCATCCAACTTTTGAGGGAAATTATAAGAAGAAATTTTATATATATATATATTTAAAACTTTACTTTAAAACTTTTTCTAATTCAATTTTTTTCATCCTCCCTTAATTGTTTTTTTCCTTTCTTTTGCCTTTGTTTTTGATAGCAATAAATCTGCCTATCATGGCATCATCATGATATCTGGGCGGACGTTGGAGACCCACCTTTTCAGGGAATCCCCAAGACTATTGTGAAATGGTCAGGTCTCCTCCGACGCGCATGAAACTTCTAGTCCTGTGGTACATGCGATAAATATACGACCAGGGCGTAACAATAATAAATTAATTCCAAGGTTAGAGCACAGGATACGCTAGTGAAGCAGGATAATTACTCAGAACCCATCAAGGGAGACGAGAACCTATCCATTAACGCTTTTTAAGCGCCGTAAGGAGCTGGTTGTAGCTTCTTGGAACATCAGAAAGCTTATGGATGCTACAAGTCAAGCGATGACTATCCACAACACTTCTAAATACCGCGTGGATGTGGCTTGGCTCACGAGTAATTATTAAACCTGGTTCCGAGCAAAGATATTGACTATATCATTGTGGTGTTTCAAATAACTTGGCGCGAAAAAGCTTATTTATGTCTGAAAAGGTTCTATCAGCTCTGATTGAACCGCCAACTGATAGAAGAGAAAATAATCTCCGTAATCCATAAGCTTAGGACCAACAGGAAAAGATGGTCATCGGGTCGAACTCTTCAAATATTATCCATCATCGTTCATAACTCACCTTCAATAAATATGCTCTGATATGGCAAAAGAAAATAATACCAGAAGATTGCAATTTTGCTTCCAATTCCCAAGAAAGGTGACAATTACCGAGGAATCAGCCTACTGGACATCTTTTCGCTTCCCTTCTGCTAAATAGACTCATGGCAACACGAGATAGCAGAATAGCAGAAGCAAAATCCTAACCAAGCTGGATTCAGACCACGAGGCTGACCAGATATTTAAGCTAAGAAGGATTGGAACACCGGTTCCAATATCTGACTGGAAAGCGATGGAATGTGACGATGTCCCAGAGATGATTTTTCGGCTCATAAAGGCATTTTATCAGCATATCTTGACATAGGACTTGTACATAAGGAACTGACTGACTTTTTCGAATCACGAACTGGTGTCCATCAAGCCCGTGCCCTTTCCCCTACAATATTCAACAACGCGACAGACTGGATAATGGATATCGATTGTCAGTACTGAAGAGATGTGTAAATTAGTCTAGAACATGACACCACAGACTTTAAATATGCTTACGATGTTCTTTTTATAATAAAATGCAAATAATGTTAAAAAATGTGCCAAAAACTACAGTGAGAAGTGAATCAGAATTAATGTAAATAAAACAAAAGTGTTTTCGTCTTATATACAAGATGCTGATAAAATATCTATTTTTATTAACTCATTGCCGGTTGAAGAAGTGCCCGTCTTTGAATATCTTAGATCCACTCTAGTCCCAAATGGCCAGGCAAAAGACGAAATTAAAACCCGGATAACGACAGCTAGGAATTTTTTTCCGGCTGACAAAATCCTTATGGAAGCATCGTGAAATCACCATAAAGTCAAAAATTCGCTTCCATATAGCTACAATTTGCTCGATGTTGCTATATGGCTGCGAAACCAATGAGAATGGAAGATAGCTATCAACCTTTGACCACTCATATCTAAATTACATTTTACGGATCCGTCGAGCTAATAAAATCTCACATGATCGCATCCATCTTCGCTCAAATAACCATTAGCATTAACATCGCCTTCCACAAGAGTTGAAGCATATTTTGTTGATTACTAAATTCTATGATGGGTGGCGTAAAAAGCGAGGAAAACCAATCGATACATGGACAATCAGGAAAAATTTTGAACGTATAGGAACCAGTGATATATGGGCTTAGACGATGGAAAAAGGAATGACTTCTATTATTAACGATGGCGTGGGACCGAGTAGTTTGAAGGCATCTTATCCATGTAACGATTGGATCCAGCCTAATCAGTAATGGTGAAGATCAAATTCTAGAAAACTGATGCACAAGAAAAAAGCAGAAATTACTTCCAAATTTTGATCCAACCGGACATATTCATATTATTTTTTTGGTATGCATCCAAATAATAATCTGCGCACTGAATGGGAAGTCCGCACGTATTAGCAACAGAAAATGAACATCCCCGATGTACCACAACATCACATTCTTGAAAAAAAATAATGAAAATAAAAATTTGCTTAAGATATCTAGTAAAAAAAAAGTAAAAAGATTCACCACCACACTTTAAGGAATGCCGTAGTCTGGGTAACCCTTCCAAACAAACCACACATTTTGCCTGAAAGATAAGTGGTAAATGATACTTTAGAATTTTATATACTGATTAATTTAAAAAATAAACAGAAATCGACTTTTATTTAAACCTGTTTTAAATTAAAATAATTCTTCCAGCGATGGGGAATATCGTGTTTCATGGTGCCAATATGTGCAGCACTACTTGGTGATAAAGGCACATCATTTGATATATACTGAGTTGTTATGCTGAAATTTATTAAATTCATTTATTTTTCAGAAATTAATTAATTAACAAAATTAATTAATTATTAATTAAGAAATTAGTGAGCAATTATTTTGATTAATTTTGATTGATTGAAAATTTAATTTAAAAAATATATATAAAAAAAAATTAATGAAAAGAAATCATGTTAGAAAAATAATAAGTTGATTAACATAAGCTCACGATAAAGTTGATGTGGGCGCTGTATAGTGTTTTTTGTCATCATTCACAAGTGAAATAATGGGTGAAGTTTCGCGATCGTAGTGAATCTTCACTGAAAAAAACTAAATCAATTTTCACCAAAAATAAGCTCTTTAAATTTTTGAAAAAAACTTCTAACAAAAAAGCACCACTAGAACTCGAAGAAGACTGTCGGTTTGTTGAATGAAATTGCTGTCTTTCCGGTATTGCAATATCCTGTTGCAATTTTTGTTTTAATGCAAATTAAAAGCTTAAAATTAGATTAAATTCTGCCCAAAATAAGGTTCTTCGATTTTTTTTAAAGAGTCATCACCATTACTGGTTAAACTCGCTCCGCTGGTTTGTCGCACTAGAAAAATATACCAGAGAGTCCCTTGGCGATAGAAATACAGGTGAATCGCCAGTATCACCTTCGATTTTAGTCTGATCTGATCGAAAAAAAACTCAAGCTTGAAAGGATACTGATGAAAGATCGAAGAATATTGGGAATTGGGAAAAAATGAATTTAAGATATATTTAAAATTATTCTCAATCGGAAATTATTTTAAAATTATTATTATTAAAATTATTATAAATTATTTTAAAATTATTTATTCCTTTCCTAACCGCATCCTTTTTATATTTTAAATTTCTTTTGGAAAGATAGTAACCATGAACAATCCATCATCATAGGACATCAGAGTTGAATGCGATGAATTTCTCTGTAATTTAAGAGAGCCTTTTAAATTTATTTGGGCTTGTAAATAAGCAATTAAACGATCTTTTTCGTCAACTGTTTGTACCATTACGTCTAGCCGAGATTTTAGACAGTCCTGAAAACCAATACTAATATCTTTTTGCGAAACATCTTCTATAATAAAAAATCCTAATGAGATTCGACGATCTCCAATGATATTCTCATTTATGTCTTGTCCACTTTATCTATACTGATCATTTAATTTATAACTTTATCTATAAGTTTTAACTATAATTGTTTTTGACGTTTAGTGGATTGTGAACGTTTAAGACTTTTGTTTCATACATTTTCTCATTTCTTATAATTTGTTGAAAAAAGACAAAAAATCTCCTTAAATAAATTTTTTTTCAGATTTTATTGATTATAAATATTATTCTGAATGTATTTTTCTGATCCAAAACTTAAAATATGGTTTAAAATAATGAAATTCTTCTATCCATTACAATTTCACGTAAATAGAAAAACAGGATTTTACGAGCAAAAAAAAATCTAAATTCAAAATTCTAACATGGAAGCTTCACAAATATATAAAAATAAATGGAAAAATGAAAGTTGCTAACCTCATTATCTTTAGTTTTTCTTAAATTCTCTTCCAAATTGGCGTTTAAGGATTTCGAATTTTCCAATTCATCTCTGTATTTCTCTAATTTCTCTATAGATAGAGCTAAACCGTTGCGTAATTTTTTATTTTCATCGATAATTTTCGCATGAGAATCATGAAGTTCAGCCAACTATAAGAAAATTATTATTTTAAAAAAAAAAGTAGAAATATATTTAAAATATATTTTATCGACACTTCTTGTGCAGATAATGGGTAATAGATAAACCTCCTCTCTTCTCTTAATAGAAATAAAAATAGAAATTGGCCAATCAATTTAATTCACCCAATTTAATTTATCACGATCTATAATAAGTTGCAATTTAAGCAGATTACGTCTTTGTTAAGGTGCGTAAATTCATTGTTTTTTTGCTCCAATTGTCTTTCTAATGACTTGATCATCGTATTTAAATAATGCTTCTCAGCTCGCAATTTTTCATTCTAAAATGTGAGAATGAAAGTATGCGAAAATCGATCTCATAAAATATCGGTTGCTACAAATAAACACGTTATATCTAAATGAATTTCTTTATTTGAATCACATTAATGAATATTAATTAATTTTAATGAATATTCAAAAATTTAAATCGTCATTATACAAATATCAAGCTACCTTTCGCAAGAAAAAAAAAAAGCTCTTTTATTTCAATTAAATAAATTTAAATTTGACATTAAATTCTTTTATTTTCTTCTTCTTCTAACAGCTCTCATCATTACTGGCTAAGCTGGCTCCGCTGGCTATAAAGGTAAAATATCTCTAAGCTGCTTAGTCCGACGCCATCGCTAGTAGCTAGCAGAAGCCATTCCTTTTTCCATCGTCTAAGTCCATATATCGCTGTTCCCTCTATCATTCAAAATCTTTCCTGACTCTAGCAGTCCAACTTGACTGGCTGGCACTCTTCGTTTTGACGCCAACAATCGTTTAGAAAGTAATTTAGCAAGTAACGAAAAATATGTGTTAACCTGTGGTGGACAACGGAGAACGTGGCCTAACCAGCGAAGGCGACATTCTGGGATAACATTATTAATACAGGTGATATTTGAGTGAAACTCAGTTAATTTAATTAATTATAAATAAAATAAAAATTACAGTTGATGTTCCTTCATCATCTTTCAATGAATTCACTTGTTGTGTTATACGAGCCAGTTCTTCACGATAATCATTATGCGTTTCGCGCAGCTCTTCCTTTAAAAAGCCACTTATGAATTTGATAAAGAATTTCTTAAGAGAAATGCGTAAATTAATATTCAATAACTATTGCTTTAACAAAAAACATCAAAAAAAGAATCATAAAATAAAGAACAACCAACCGTTAAATATTCAACCTTAGTTAGTAAGCGATTTTTTTCGAAAGTAATTTCTTTCAATTGAGCTTTTAATTCATTCGTGGATGCCAAATGATGTTCAGCAACACTTAGTTTGGTTTTTATATCTTGAAGTTCATGAATAGCCGTGTTTAACGATTTTTCCAAGTAGTTTTTATTTTCCTTTGAATAAAAATGATGAATGAAAATTTAAAAGAACTTGATAAAAACCAAAAGAAAGCATAAAAAAAATAAAAAAAAGTACAACCAGAAGAAATTTATCGATAATTTTATTGTAACAAATAGTAATTATTATTATTCACCAAAAGTCTCTCGCACTGCACATCAATAAATTGCAAAGCATTGGACAATTCAATCTTTTCTTCCTGTGCCACTAACAATTGTTTTTTCAGCATATTTATGTCAGTATTATAACTGGCTTTCAAAGTTGTTAATTCTTTATTGCAGTGCTCTAGCTGAAAATTTGAAAAATAAAAATATTTAACAACAAATAGGTTTGACGTAGCTCATGCAGAAATATAAAAACTATCTCAGTACTGCCTAACATAATAAAAGTGTTAATAAATAAATTAATAAATAAATTGAAATTGAAATGTGCATTATATGTCATACTAAATTCACAACTTCTTGTGATATAACTAAACATTTTTTATCATCCATTCATATCTTTAAAACTAACTTTCATTTTAAAAGACATTTCGACTGCGCAGTTTTTCTCTCCTGGCGTCTGTAGTTCATGCACCGGTGAAAGATTTATATCACATAATTTAAACTTAGCTTCTTTTTGATTTCCTTCCACAGTACTGTTACTCACCTCAAAAAAATTAAATGCTATAAGGAAAATAAAGCAAGAGCTTTACTCTGATTTCAAAGAATTGTTTTTTCAATAAAATTTTCAATAACTAACATTTTCAATACTGAGAACAGAGCACTTAGCTGTTCCACAAAACAGACCCAGTTCTTTATCGAAACATTTGTTGATGTTTGCCATTTCACTTATTTTTAGTTGTGCATGTGAAGCCTAAAGATTTTTAAAAAATTCGGAACCAAATTTTCTTCAAACTCACTAAAATATAAAATTCTCTCAAAATAATGATTTAAACATATTTTTCAAAAGACAACCTACTAGTCTATTTTATTTTTTTACAAATTAGCAAAATAAAATTTCAAAAACGACCTCATCACCTTGACCATAAGTTAGCTCGTTCTGAAGACGGAAATATTTACGCTTCAAATCGATGAGATCACATCTAAAAGCTTATCATCGTTCGAATTAAATGAAATGTGATAATATAACTATGCACTGCCTAATATTAATTCAACTGATTAAGTTAAATTTGTAAGGAAAGGATAAGCAAAATTGATATAGGGTAATCTAGAATTGATAACTGAATAACTAATCTAAATAACTGATAATCTAGAATTGATGAAATGCTATTACAACAATAGGCGTAATGAAAAGAGCTATATGAAATGAAGTAATTATGTGTGGAAAAAAACCTATACCCACAATAACTGAGCAAAATTTGGTCGCTCAATGCTTTAATATTGAAAAAAAAGACTTCAACATTGACTCAAATTGGGTAACTGGAGATGGATTCAATCTAAATTTATTAAATTTTCGACTCAAATGATGCAAAAAAATGAAAGGATTATGCATCCAACAAGTTAGGAAATGGAAATTATCTACCAACATCCCCAGTATAGCAACGAAGTAAAAAAAAACATGAAAAAACTGGCCATCGAGACCGAGGCTCACTGAATTATCACCAGATAATGCATTTGAAGATGTGAATAGAGCTCTCAAAACAATTCCTACTACCACAATAATAGAAACCAATGAACTGGTGTAGACCACAGCGGATTGTAATTCTGGAGAAGCTGGGATACAAAATGAAGAAGAACAGCAATGCATATCACCTTTGGAAAATGGGATTAGAGAATAAGCAAAACATAACAGAAATTAATCAGCTGGCAGAACTAAAGAAGGGTGAGAAGATCAAAGACAGGACTCGGTTACTAAAAAAAAAGCTCCATTGGAAGCTCTAGAAACAATAAATTTTTTTAAGTTTATTTTTTCTATAATTTTTTAAATTTTCTATTTTTATCCTTCTCAAATTTTACCTCCCTCGACAGGACCAAACCAGTCATGATATTAAAAGCATCTGCTGAAGATCTACGGCCTTATAAAAATGGAGATACCAGGAAAACAGCAGCTCGACTAGGCGATTAGGAAATTATTCCGCCTTCTTTATAAAGCAACTATAACACGATTAGTGAAATGGTACGAGATAGCAATATGTCTGTTAAGACTATTAAGAAGCGCTTCATAATGTGGAAGAAATTTCTTTAAGGCCAGTCAAGCCGTATTTGCAACTGCGTACGGCTTGCAGAACAGGAAATAATCACTATTATCCGTAAGCTTAAGGACAATAGAACTTCCGGATAACTCCTGCAGGCTAAACTCTTTAAATATTCGTCTTCCGTCGTCTTTAATAACATAGTTTCAACGAATATACTCTCTGGTATGGAAGAAATAATACCAGATGACTAGAACAAAACAATTCTGCTCCCAGTTAAGAAAGATGACAGGACAAAATGTGAGAATTATCGAGGAATCAGCCTACTCGAAACCTCCAAAAAAATTTATGATTTCCTTCAACTCAATATACATTAACACGGGATACGCTCTAAGTGTGCCCAACCCGGATCAAACCAGGACGTGACTGCTGACCAGATATCCAGGTTAACAAGGATATTAGAATTGTAATCAGACTTAAATATCTTACGCTTGCAACCAGCTTAACCAGTAATGGTGAGAAAAGACTGATGGAGTGGACGTACTACTAACGCACTAGAAGACATATAGACTAGCTACAGAAACCTTGATATTCCACGTAAAAACCACGATGAAAAGGCAAGGAAGATAGCAACATCGATTCACCAAATAAGACAGATATTGAACAGTCAGGTCAGTGGTAAAAATAAAATTCATGCCATAAACATGTAAGTTATGCAGCTGTCATAGTCAAAAGAAGATATGGAAACTACCGATTTGAAGATCCATAAACTCCTCACAATGCAAGGAAATTCCCATCTCAAATCCAACACTCAAGGAACAGCCGGAAAGCAGGATCCTGATGAAAATGAAGATCAGCAAAATCCATAAAAACATTAGGTAGCAAGGTGGCGCCAAAGATAAGCATGAACAGTATCATCATTTACACTGGAAAAAAGACCAAGCACAGGAAGTACCATAGTGCAGTAAGATCCTCCATGGAATGTATCATCGAAAGATAGTTCAGGTGGTTAGTATTAAGAAATCCTACCAGTGACTGGAAAAAGCTGGAGTAAGACGTAGCACTGAGGCACAGCAGCACAAGAGCAGGCGCCAAGTACCAGATCAAATAGAAGACCATCACACCAGACTCAAAATGTAAATTGTAGAAAAACGGTTCAACATATAGTGGCAGAATGTAAATAAAATGTAAATGTAAATAGAAACAAAATATATTGAAAGACACGACTAAGCAACTGGCATTATCTACAGAAATATCTGCTCAGCATATGGTTTAGACCCACACAAGGCTAGCTTCCTCATAAAATCATTTAGAACATCAAAATCCTGTAGGACTTCTCTGTCTAAACATATAAAGAGTATTGGTCAATTAACCAGATATCGTGGTAATCGATAAGATCAGCACTGGTTAAAAATGTAGCAATATAATAATATAAAAATATAATAATAAGTGATACGAATATCAAAAAAAAAGAAATAGAGAAAACAGAATGATGCAGAATGATAGAAGAATGCGGAAATTGAAGGCTAAGGAAGTCCCAGAAGCAATAGGAATATTAGTCGCTGTGACTTTCAAATTAAAAAAGTGCCTCCAACAGATTCCAGGAATGACATGGGAGAGAGATCTATGCCCAGAAAAAAGCATTCCAAGGAATATAAAAATAGAATAATTAAAATAATGTACATAACTAAAATTCCCACGTCTCTGATAGAAAACCCAAAGTTGATTAAAACCCATATCGACCAAAGGAAATGCAAAAGGAATTTTTTATTATTCTAGACTTAAATAATTGAATAATCTTGTGGCAATGACCAAGTAATACTAAAAATAATAAAATAACCAATAAATGTAAATAACCAATAATATGCAAAAAACTATAAATACAAACCGAAGCTGAGCCTTTTGCAGTTTGATTTTGCCATTTTCTTCCATCAAGGAACGATGTATAATATCAAAATTTTTTTCGGAATCTGATAATTTTTTCTCCGCCTTTTGCAACTCTGACTTGAGATAATTAATTTCTTCGTTGCTTTTTTTTAAATCCTTCAATTTCAATAATAACCTATGAATATCAAAACTATTTTAAAATTCTCGAATTTTATGAGATTAGATAAAGAATGAAAATTTAAAATCGATGACTACCATTTTAATATCAAATATATCAAAATATAAGACTGTAAAATAAAAAAAATGGGCGAAATTATTTATTATAAATCCATACTGCCATTACTATATCTTTTGACTGATTAACTTCTGCTATTTCTTTTTCGAGATATAAAATTTTGGTTGTGAAACATCCAATTTGTTTATAAAGTTCGGACTGTTCCTAAAAAACGAACAATTACAATTATAATTGGTAATAATAGAATAAATTTTTAGAATTGGGATAAAATCACTGTGAAACAAAAAAAACCAAATTTTAGAATTACTTGCGAAATAGCTTTCCTACTCTTTATTGATTCAATCTGTTTTTGAAGTGTCTCCATCAATGACATCAGCTTTTCATGATTTTCGCGGAAATCAGATTGATAATTGCCACTAATATCTGTATTAACGTCTTTCTGAAACAGTTTATTTGTTTAACTACAATGTTGATAGAAGAATTTGAATCTAATTTCGTAGACCAAACTAATCTATTATTGTCTATTAAAACTCAGATACTACAAGCGAATTGAGATAAAAATCCATGAACCACTTCAAATCAAAAGTTAGTTGATGTAAATATATTATCGAAAAAATTATAGGTTTTCAAAATTTTCCAAACCAAACAACTGTGAAAAAGAGAAAAGTTACAAAAAATTACAACTGAAAAGCTTAAAATAAAAATAAATAAAAATAAAAAAATTATTATTTAAATTATTATTTCAAAACAATTTACAATTTACCATCCCATCTTTTTTCTCAATTTTTTTGTTAATAAATCAATTAATAAAAAGTATAATTGTTTGGTTAGTCAGTTAGCTCAAAATTTAAAATCGATGACTATACCATTTTTTATACCAAATATATCAGAATAAATATAAAACTCCATTTCCTATTAGTTACTGAAATACTTTTGCCGAAGAATTAGTATAGAGGTAGATATACTCTTTAATGATATTCCAAGAATAGAGATCAAATTGAAATAATCAATGTATATATGATAATGTAATGAATATAGTATTCAACCATACTTCTATTAAAAAATATAATGCCGACTGACTATAGCGAAAATAATTTGTGAAGTAAAAATTTATTAATGGAATATGTGCGTAAAATTCCCTTTGCCAGTACCTCATCAAATTTGCTGTGACCAACAAAACTTTCCAGTCCTTTTATTTGGTTCTGTAAGCAGATTTCAAGTTTCTTATGGACTTCACCCAATTCATTCGATAACAATTCTTCCTTTTGCTTCATCTGAATGATTTGATTTTATCATGATAATATTTCTAAAAGATTTTCAAAAAACTACCGAATGCACTTTGGATTGAAGGGAAACAATTTTTTTCGCATCTTGCATTCGTTCCTTTTGTAATTCAATATTTAACAACTGTTGTCTAGCTTCACTATCCTGCATATTTATTTGCCTATTTGCTCGAGCCAATTCTATTTGTAAGTGATCAATACTATCTATAGTTTTACTCAGTTGTTCCTGTCTTTTGTCCATTTCCTCTTTCTGAAAAAATTTTAATTTTATGGAGAAATAATAAGCCAAAATAAAATGGTAAATAATTTCATAAATAAAAGATGAACTTGATTAAGATAAGATTTTTTTTCCTTCTGATATACTTCGCACGCTTCCAAAGATAACTGCTTTGCTTCAGTTAATTCTTTTCTAAAATAAAAAATATAAATAAAATAAAAGAAAATACATGCGATAAAATTTTAAACGAATTCATCATAAATGTAATGAAATAGCGAAATTCTGAAACATTAAAAATATAAAAGAAAAATAAATAAATTATATAATAAATATATTGTTGTGGCGTTATTTGCTTATATTCTCGTAAAGACAAACTTCAGCTGCCTGATTGTGCATCTCAGTAAACGAATCTCTTGCTCCAATATTTTATTCCTTGTTAAAAGAATTTCATCCTTTTCCATTTCTATACCGTTCAATAGTTCACCTTTGATTTCCTATAAAAAGGTTTCGAAATAACAATTAAAAGAAGAATTCACGTATGAAAAAACTGAACAATTCTACCTGTATAAGTTCAGCTTGCTTCTGTATTGTTTCTTCAAGGAAAATAATATCGGCTGATTTTCCGCGACCGTCCTTCGACAACGAGTTAGAGCACTCCCCCTCCTCGCATCCCTTAAAAGACCTTTAAGTAAGCTGAACAGCGCGAAATTGTTGAGTGGCTTAATTTTTAGTTCAAATGAGACGAAACGACTTTAAGAGAGATCCTCTGCGAGTCGCACACGAGTGACGCGACGGCGCATTCAACTGCTGCGCGTGGATGAAGAAAACTTCCACAAATAATTTGTGGGAAATAATTAGTCGAACGACGAGATGCGAATGAGAAAAGAGGAGGTGCGAAGAAGATTACCTCAGTGCTGCGGCTAACGGAATGCATTCTCACTGGCGGTGATTCCTCGATAGATGCGCAACGCCGAAGACGCAAATCGCTGCTGAAACTGAAGATAGCTGCAAACAAACGAAGGCGAGCAATTCGTCGAAGTGCGCGCAGCAAACGGGCGACTTTCCGCGCGAAATCCCCCGATCGCGGGTTTCCTTCGAATTATCAGCGAATTATTCTCAACTGCGATTCTTCGAACAATTCCCTTCGTTTTCCTTCCAAATAAATATTTTTTATTTCAAATTTTCAGAAAAGTTTAATTTCTCCAATTTTAATATCCATAAATTCAGTACCAAATAAATTAAAAAACAAATCCAAGAACAAACCTCGCAGAGCACAAAATTATCTTTAAAAGCGCTACGAAAACGAGCACTTCGAGCACAAAAACGAAATTAACTAATCTTTGAATCGAAATTTTGCCGCCAAACTGGCGGAGCCACTACATCGCAGCTTCGGCTGTGTAAGAGAGGTTGTCAAGGGATTTTCGTGTTCGCTGTGAATTAGCCGTTTTGCTTGAACAGTTTGTCTAAGATTTCAAGTCGTGGGGACGTGGTTTCTAATTTTCAGAGAGGTAAGTTTGTGATTTTTGAATATGCCAGGTTTTTTGAGCAATCAGTTTGAATTTCGGGTAATGTTAGAGAAATGTCTGAGAAAAACTGATCCTCGAATTTCGATTTATTGTGTGGGTCGCCGAGTCGCCGAGCCGGGAGGATATTTCATTGAAGCGGTGCGCGTAAACCGTAAACACGACAATGCGATGCAAAGTATGACGGCGCAATGCGACAATATTGATCGGGCGGTCGAGTTGAGACAGTGCACGCAGCCGGATGGCGCCGATGGTGGCACCTCATTAACGCGACTTTTGGCCACCGAGTTGATTCGACCTTCTCTGAAGCTATGCAAAGTGGTAAAGCAAGCAATAATAATTATGTTTATATTCAAATAAATTAATGGATTAAACGTTAAGAGTATACTTTAGAAGTAAATTTGTGGATCAATGGTCAGAGGCTTTGCGTTTTTTTCTTTATGGATTAAGGCAGCAAAATGTGGATGGAACCGTTCGTTCGTGTGACCTCGATTTAGGTATTCTAATATTCCTTGTTAATACTGTTATAATATTCTCTATTATTGTTTATCATATCATATATTATTATATATCAATATGAATTCTCTTCTGTAACATTTCATCTCATTTTATTCTAAAATCTCGCATTATTGCTGGGTTAGTAGACTCCCAAATTCTCAGATCCCACACATTTATAAAAGTACGGAAATAAGCGTTTTTAGATTTCGAAAATAGTCCTCTAGTCGTATTGGCCACTAAGTAGGTTGGCCTTAGCCTTATTTGGTAGGCCTTGGCCTATTATCATTTTTTATTTTTTAATTCTTCAATTTTAATGAGATTTTATACGTTCGTAGGTCATAATGCCGCTACTACGAACTCGATAATTGGCAAGTATGGCATTGGGGTTCGGTGCACCGAAGAGGAATGCTTCCGCTCTGCCAAAGAGCATGAATTTTTGTTACTAATAAATGCATCTAACATCGAAGAAGAATCTAGTTACATGGAACTCTCCAGATAATCAACATCCCAATCAGATTGATTTTAGGTAGTCACCGTCGAAAGAGTAGATTCCATACTAGATGGTCTAGATAGTCGCTGCATTGAAACGGATAATTTTCATGACTTTGACCATCTTATCGTTCGAGCCAAGATTAAAAAACTAACAACTCGCAGGACATAGTGTCTCCCGAGATCTCCCAACTATCTTTAAAAAATTCGTGGAAATTTCAAACCGAATTATTGAAGCACCTCATTGAAATGAATATCAATGATCTTTGGATGAATACTGGCCCTAACTAAAGACATGTCTTCGCAAATCAGCCACTTCCGTATTAGGATGTGCTTGTTGAAAATATGCTAATTGGGTATCGGAAGTAAATATCCAACTGTCTGAAAAAGCTAGCGAAACACGAATGACAGAGGATTCGGCTCTAACAAGTTTCAGGTCGGGGTGTGGCTTTGCTAACCAGATATTCAAGTTAAAAAGGATGTCGAAATATCGTTTCAAATATCTGCAACACACATGTTTCATGAACTTTGCAGTTCGATTGGGTGACGCTTTGGAGAATGGTGGAATGCGACACGACGGTGTTCCAGAGGAAATTATTCGACCTTAAAAGTATTTCATCGGTCTGTGTATATGAGGAACTCCTTCAAAATAAAAACCGTTAAAGCCGCGTCTTTCCCCTATAATATTCAACTATAATTATGGATAATGGATAATCGTTTGTCATCATTCAAGAGGTAACAGGGGATATGATGGTTTAGTGGGTTTTTGCTCAATTCGGAGCGTCGATAAGGTTATTCTCCGCGAGAGTAAACGTCCAAAAATCCGAGTGATGCTGGTGGCTCACCCGTATTTCTTTCGCCAAGAGATTCCCTGGCATATTCGTCCAGTGCGACAAGCCGGAGCGAGCTTAAACAATAATGGTGAGAACTTTTTAAAAAATAATGGTTCATGGATATGTCAAAAATAAATTTGAGCAATACGTTCGAAATTTTAATCAAATATTCAAAATAAAAATTTGAAACTATGCTTTCTTTAAATCATTTATTAAACAACTATTTAATTTAGTCAATTTATAAAAAGCATGATTTAATGAACGAAATAAGAAATATAATTGAAAGACAACAGTAATCCAAATGAAAATTAAAAGTGATTTGCGTGTGCAAAATCGAATGAAAGGAAGAATGAATATGGCACATTTACATGGCAAATGAAGGCACTTTCCCACAGCTTATTATTAAGAAATTATAAAAAAAACTTCAAAAAAATTTTTGCACGGTTCTATAATGTGAGATAATGGTTTCCTTTTAAAGTTCTCATTAATTTGATAATGAACGTCTGAAACGTCTGACTTTTTCATGCAAATTACCATAAATATTTTTTGAAAGACAAAAAGTGAAGAGATAAGCGATAATAAAGACCAATATTGTTGTTTTGTTAGCTCGTCTTATAAATTTTTTTACACGATTTTTGAGTTTAACTAGAAAGAGAATCATAAGCAAAAAAGAAATGCTATAAAATTATTCAATGCTACAATTTAATGCCACAATCGGATATATATAAATCAGATACATAATAAAAAGAAATTAACAAACAACAAGATGTAAGACTGGTGGGTAGTAAACAGCAGCAACATTTACAATAAGTCGTAAATCTGAATAATCACATCCAATTATTTCGGCTATATGTTCAGATGAGAGACTATTGGTAAAATTTATTTTTTTATCATTGTCACTAAAATTTTTATCATAAAAATTATCAACCTCGCCACCTCGTTGCGCATCATCAGCACTATTTAAAACTGCAATAAGCGATAATGATTTTCTTAAAATTTCGCTGAGTGTATTTTCTATTATTGCAAGAAGAATATTAGGTGATGCACCCATATCATAAAAACCGATAAATTGCTCCAACATAGTTACAATTATATCGCACGGTGAAGCCATTTGGCTCTCATTAAGAGTAATTTCATCACCTACGATTGTCTGAAATATTAGATATTACATTTAAATACGCTGATTTCTCGGATAATTAAAAACTCCTGCTTCAGTAATGTATTTATCAACATTCCAATTAAACAGTATGTCTCTTCCTATCAACCATCATAAGCAGAAGAAAAATCATTTCGCCTCCCTTTTGACCTAATAAGCATAACATGTTTAACGAAGAAATGAGCCAGCACAACATCTACTACATTAACAGACATTGAAGTGAATTAAATTTATAAAATATAGCATAAACAATACCAATCGAAAATCGATTCTTTATATAAAAAATTTAAAAAAGTACAAGAATATTTCCAATGCAATGAAAAATAAATCTTATCCACACTGCATATTAATTCTTGCAAAAACAAAAAATGATGATAACCTTGACTGTAAAATTGTTTACATCAGCAATAACAATCACTGATGGTGTAACAGATGAAGAATCTGAAACTGTTGAAGAGTTGGAAGAACCAAGTGAAGAAGAGGATGCCATTATTTCATAGTCTCCATTTTTCACGTGTTCCGTTAGAGAAGACAATATCTAAAACAAAAAAATCATATCTGGATAAAAAAATAAAAGAATTAAAGAAAATAGACATTGGAAAAAAAGGATCGCTAAAAAAATTAATAAAATAAGACTATATATAAGACTAAACAAACTTCATAATCGATATTCGATCGGCACAAACCCGATAAAACAAAATGAGAACAATAAGAATCACAAGGTCCAGCTAAAAGGGAATGAGCTAAATCAAAACTTTTCGATGCCATGATAATGTTTGATAAGGAAAAATGCCAATCTGAGTCCACATTTTTAAATTTTTCTTCGAAAATAGTTGAAATCAATTGATTATCACTGCATCGATCTAAATTTAAATTGGTGCAAATTCAAATATTAATAATCAATCCTTTGAAATTTTTTTATCTAATTTATCTAATTTTTTAATTTTTTAATAAAAAATTATTTTAATGATATTGATGTTACCTTTTTTATTTAAAAAAGATTGAAAAATATAGCTTACCTTTTATGGCAGAATCTATTCCTTCATATTTTTGTTGTGATACTAGAGGCTTGGAAATTTCATTTCCTATATTACTTTGCTTCGTACGAACTAAATACATTCAAAATAGATATGAAAATCATTTAACCACAATGAAATGAAAAAAAGAATGAGTATTAAAAATATAACTGGTGAAGTATTTCCCAATAAACTTATAAAAAAATCCCTAAAAATTAAAAAAAAAAGTGGTAATTAATGGTAATGGTAATGATAGAATTTCGAATGCCCTAAGTATATAAATCAACACTTCTATTAAGAATAAAAGAATATTTAATTTATCCTTTCTGAAATTATATGCGCAAAGAGAAAAACTATGCTGAAAAATACCACCTTTTTCGTTGCGATGAATCTCAGAACATCGAATAAAATATGTAAGTAAATAAAGTAGTTGAGAAATTATCTTTGTTTCACTGCCAATAACCACGGTTCGTGCACTTCGTATTAAACCACTTATGTTTCCACAAACCTCCAGATGTTGCGCAAGATGAATATTATAAAGGCCATATGATTGTTCCGAATTCTCACACTAAAATTTTGATTTTATAAGAAATTTTCACTATTTTTTTTTAAAATTCTGAGAAGTAACTTCGCGTCATTTCGCGTTTAATTTACAATTAAACCGAATTACAAAACTAATTGAATTCTATAATAATTGGTTAGATTCCAGAAAAATAGGATCCAGAAAAGTAGAAAATGACTTACAGTCCCAAAAAGTAAAGAATGTTGCGTTTCATTCTTATGACAATCTCGTTGTGCGACGCTTGCAACCCAAGACAAATGATTCATTAGCACACATGACAGCAATTTAGAGAAAAAACTGAAATATTTATGGTATTTTTAAAAAATTCAATATCTTTAAAATCTGTTGTTTTTTGGCAATTTTTCTTTATATTCCTTATATATTCTTAGAACCATGTTTTAGACTAAAAATCTGCATTAAAATCTGCATTAGACAATTTTATAAGAAACTAACAAATGGGTAGTTTTCAAATCGAAATTTTTTAGAACCGACGCTAAATTGGAACAAAATGTTCGTGCGATAATTTCATAATTTTCTTCTTGCCTTATTAAACTCAACCAAACTGGTGACTGTAATCGCGGAGAATTATGAAGTAAACAGATATTATGAGCCATCTCAATCCAACCCTAAAACCTTTATTGCACATTAAAATTTGAAGCAAATTCTATTCCAAAAACTTCAAAAATAGAAATGATAAAATTATCACTTCATGGATAAGTTCCAAGAACTTTGTCTTCGATAAGGATGCCTTTGCGATTTGAGTTTGCAATTTGAAGATTTCTGCTTCAATCAGGGAAATGTGTTGGAAAACAAAATGCCGCAAATCTTCACTGAAATAAAATAAACAATTTTATTTTTTAATTTCAAATAATTTTTTCCATTTTGTGGTTTTCTTCATTCAAAACTATCAATTTTCATAGTTCTATCTTAGTGGTTGTTTACTTGAATGAAAAACTTAAAGAATTTTAAACAAAAAATTAGGAAACAATGATTTCTACATACTTTAATATTAAACCAACAGCTATACGCTTTGTATTTTCGTCATATATCGAACTCGTACTACTTAATCTACTTCGACTGCTCCAATGACCGGAGTTGTCTGAAAAATGCTCTTTTACTTTTTTACCTTTTTTCTCACTCAAATGAGCTGAATTAAAAAGTTCATTTTTAATAAATTTATTCATCTAAATAATCATAATTATTATATGTAATGTACTTAAATTATCGAAAAAAAATAAATATAAAGAAAACAACTTTCAGAATTGCCACGATGTGAAAGCTGCAAACGAAGATTCCTCGACAAAAGTTTCGGAGAAATTACGATGGGTCCATCAGTGAAAAATATTTCGGAATCCGACTGTAAAGAAACATTGTGAACCCTTGTGAAACCTTAAATTTATTACATAATTTATTTAATAATTTATTTACATAATTTATTACCTAAATTTAATTAACTAATTTAATTAATTTCCTTTGCCCCTCAACACTAATTTCAAAGTCGAAAATGTACATCACATAACAACATTGTCAACCCATAGCTCATGCTCCAGTAACTTTAGGCCATAATCCCCAGTGATTCGGGAGTTCTTTAAAATATAATACATCCAACATCCTGGACATAACTGGAACGCATTTAGAACCGCACGATAACAAAACGTCTAAAGTTCACAAAATGAAGACCACTAAAACCCAAAGAAAATGGTCTTGGATCTAAAATCTTCAAATGGTGCCCCGTATCTTTCACAATACATTTGCAGAGATATTCACTATGCGAGGAGAACAATGATCGGAACAAATTCTGCTCCCAATTCCCAATCACAGGACTCACTTCAATAACTTACAAAGAACCAGCTACAAAACCATAAAAGAAGAAATTCCATCTGTTTCATGGAACATGAAAAGGAACATACTGAATAACAGTGCATGTCAGTGAGATGCGCCTTAATCAAACCGAGTTGAGGCAAGGGCATAGTTGTGCTGACCAAATTTTCAGGCTAAGAAAGGTATTAAAAGATCAAATATCCACAATCTACCGTGTTTTATTGATTTCGCTTCTGATTTAACGTCGACACAACACGTCGGCAAGTTATATAATAAGATGGTGGTCCAGAGAAGTTCATATCAGAGAATTCATCTGTACAGGCCAGTGCAAGTATAGTGTACAGCGAATCCGACACCTTTTGAAATACATGCGAGTATGAGGTTGCGTTCTTTCCCTCATAATCTTCAATTATCGAGTTCAAATGAATTCATCAACGTTCGAAGAAGCATCGAATTTAAAAATTTCGGGTCCACTCTCATACCTAATAGCTAGGCGACAGAGGAAATTCCAGTTTGGACAACTGCAGCTAGAGATGCATTCTTTCATCTGGATATCTCTCTTCAAATTGCCTAATCGAGCCGCCATCTCCATCTTGAAGGCCATTTCGCTCCAATAATGATTTCTATTCCGCTTTGCCGCTGTCGTTGTAATTCTTCGAAGCATTCGATAGTCAAAATCTCCTAACATTCGTGTTTTGGCATCATTTTCAGACAGTTGGGTAGTTGCTTCCGATATCCAACTGGCGCATTTCCTTTTTCTAGTTTGAAAATAGCTCATTTTTGGAGACATGTCTTTAGACCAGTATTCATCCGCCATTCCAGAAATATCATTGATGTTCATTTCATTTCATTTCAAATGTTTCAACAATTCGGTTTGTGAAATCCACTGCCCTGAATTTTTTAATTAGAGAGTTTGAAAATGTAAAGATGAAAAGATCTTAGGAGGCATTTTCTTGCGTATTTATGCGAATCTCTCAAATCATAACATAATCTGGTCCATAAAAATACCATTTTCAGCGCCCTGGTAGGAACGACTAGAATTCTTCCAACAGCGACTAAAATATAATCAATCGGTTAGAACGTTGGAGAGGGAATTATGAATTGAATTATCCCGGGAGTTTCACGAGTTTAGAAGTTTACGAGTCTGAATTCGGCGATTCCAAATATCCAGATGAAAAAATGCATGCATCTCTAGCTGCAGTTGTCCAAACTGGAATTTCATCTATCGCCTGTTAGGTATGGGAGTGGATCCGAAATATTTAAATTCGATGCTTCTTCGAACGTTGATGAATTCATTTGAATTCGAATAATTGAAGATTATGAGGGAAAGAACGCAACCTCACACTCGCATGTATATCAAAAGGTGTCGATACGTTATACACTATAGTTTCACTGGCCTGTACAGATAAATTTTCTGATTAGAACTTCTCTGGACCACCATCGTGTTGCATAACTTGCCGACGTGTTGATTAAATCAGAAGCGGAATCAATGAAACATGGTAGATTGTGGATATTTGATCTTTCAATACCTTTCTTAGCCTGAAAATTTGGTCAGCACAACTATGTCCTTGCCTAAACTCGGTTTGATTAAAGTTCATCTCACTGCCATGCACTGCTATTTAGTAGAAGAAAGGCAAGGATCTTCCTTGAAAAATCTAGCAAACTGGTTCCTCGATAATAGGAAACTATTCCGCATTCTTCATAAAGCAACTATAACTCAGGAAACGATCACTGAAACGGTAAAAGATAGCAATGGTGTGGGTATAAAGGATCGCCTCATAAAATGGAAGGAATTCTTTGAGAGAGTTGCTAGAAGAAATTTTAAACATAGGTGACACATGTGTTGGAAAAAAGAGTGCTTTAATCACTTTTCGAACTGGCAACTGACCAAGAGCTTTGAAGCACCTTAATCTCACCAGAATCGCCAATAGAGCGAGTCAAACCAATATTACGGGTTATTAGAAGAAGAACCTCATTTTTCTATGGTATGTTTTAGAAATAGAAAGTAATGGTTTTAAAAAAAAGCAAAATAGCGAAAAAAGAAAAAATTACTTTGAGGTGGATCTAAATTCTGTGATTTTCGATGCATTCTACCACGTATACTTTCATAAGAACGAATAGTTGAATGAGGACTTGACGAATCACTTCCACTTGTCATACCGACTTTTTGGCCGCTTAAGATAAAAATAATTTAAATAAAACATCTAAAAATTTGATTTTAAAATCTGAAACCAAATTAATCAAGAATATTTAATCAAATATTACATAAACAATTCCGAAGAGAATAAGAAGTATGTGGTAAGAAATCTTCAAATAGTGGATGGAATTAAGTCAGTCTCGTTTGGGATGAATAATTTTATAACTTCAGACTACAATAGCCAAGGATACTTGGCAAAGTAGGGTTAATATCATAAGAAATCTCTCTCAGCATATATTTTTAATGCTAGAAGTTTAAAATATAAATTGTATGATCTACCAGCTTTTATTAATGGGCAAACCAAACAGTATAAATATCAATGAAATATAGTTGGATAATCCTATGGATAATCTAAACTTCGGTGGTTTGGATTGAAGACACAGAATAGATAAATACATATCGTATCAGGCTATAAAAGTAAATTCACCGTATTCATCGCAGATCTTAACAACTTGTTAAATTTTATTTATCTATTCTGTGTCTTATTAAAATTAAGTAAATTAAAATTATTTGGTTGTGATTATGTAATTGTTGGTAATCATAATATTCCGCATGAAATATATAAAAAACAACAGCAAATTTGATGAAAATTTTCTAAACTTTTGTATTTACACTGGTTTATAGCATGTTAAGATCGCCACCAGGCGTAACACTGTATTAGATGTTGCATTAGCCTTCTCTTCTACTTCCTCTATAGTCGATAGCCTTAATGTCCTTGAATTTTTTTATAGCAGTGATCATTCATTCATGCCTCATTGAACATTTTCCTAGAATTACTAGAAATTACCGTAATTGTAATTATGAAATTGTTAATCTTTCCTTTCCAATTATAGAGCGGCGCTTTGGAGGGTGATGGAACGTGACGGTGTTCAAGAGAAAATCATTCGACTCATAAAGGCATTTTATAAGCGCACGCAGATGCAGGTCTATGTATATGGGGAACTCACAGACTCCTTCGAAATAAGAACTGGTATCCGTCAAAGTCCTTTCCCTTACAATATTCAATTATGCGATAGACTGGGTAATGGACACCGCTTGTTGGCACTCAAGATGTGTCCAAATCAGTCCAGAGCATCGTATAACAGATCTTGAATATGCTGATGATTTTTCGGTTTTGCACTTATGACGAAATGCAAATAATGCTAAATAACGTGTCAGCAACTACAGCGAGAATCAGGATCACTAAATGTAAATAAAACGAAAATCTTTTCGTCTTATGTGCAAGAAGCTGATAAAATACTTCTTTTTGTAAATTCATTGCCGTTGAGGATATGCCCGATTTTAAATACCTTGGATCCACTCTAATACCAAATGGCCAAGCAAAAGATGATATTACAACCCGGATCACGGAAGCTAGGAATGCGTTCTTCCCGTTGACGAAATCAGAATTGAATCGTCATGAAATCAGCGAAAGTCCGCATCTATATAGCCGTGATTCGATCTCGCTATATGGTTCTGAGATATGGCCAATGAGAGTGGAAGATATTAAGAAATTATCTGTCTTTGACCACTCTTGTATAAGGTACATATTACGGATCCGTCGAGCGGATAAGATATCGCACGATCGCATCCATCTTCGTTCAAATACCACTTGCATTGAAGTTTTCAAAGAGCATCGCCGGTTAGGGCACGTTCTCTATCGTCCACCAAACGAGTTGACCCATATTTTGTTATTTGCTAAACCGCGTGATGGTTGGCGTCAAAAGCGAGAAGGGTCAATCAGGACCTGGACTGATATATTGAAAAAAGATTTTGAACGTATAGATGGGTCAGCAATATATTGGATTTATACGATGTAAAAAGGAATGAGTTCTATTACTGTCGACGATGGCATCAGGCCGAGCTGTTTGAAAACGTTTACCCTTGTAGTCGTTTAAGCCAGCCTAACCAGTAATGGTGAGAGCTAATAGAAGAAAAAGAATCTTCCCTTCCAGAACTGGGATTTCATATTGTTTCTGACTAACTTTATTTATTTAAAAAGCTATTTTCTTAATAGCTCCATACCATATCTCATAAAGCAATATGGGTCCATTCCTTTTTCTCCAAAATTTCTAAAAAAATTATAAAGAACCTTTATAGTAAATAGTAAATATAAACTAAATTACCAAACTGCCATTGATCTCTCTACATATAAAGAATGCTATAAAAAATTCCGTTATGCTATTCATACTTTCAAATAAAGAAGAGGAACCTTTGAATACCAGCACAAATTCTTTTTGGAGCTTTAGAACTTTGCATATCCCAGAAAACGAATAATTCTGCAGCATAAGGATGATGTGATCACCTCTCTTACTGGTATTTCAAATGTATTTAATCAATATTTTTTTAATGTATTTGTTGACGATAATATAAATAGCAGTGAAAATCGAATTTGTTCCGGTTGTTTCCGTGAATTTGAAATAATTGTTAGATGTTTACAACATTTAAATAAACTTCATCCATTTTAGCTGGTCTCGGTAATCCACAAATATTTTATAGGCAAAATCTCAGAATTTGGAAATTGTCCCATATAATTTCCATTCATAAGAAATGAACACCTATAATTCTTCTAAACCATTAACCTAATATGCGTTGGTAACAGAATACTGGAGAGACTGATTTGTAACAAAATGCTTAGCAATCTTGATGCCAATAATTTAATATCCTCTAATCAGCATGGCTTTTGCACGAAAAAATACACTTCACAAATGCTGGCAAATCTTTTTAATTGGTTAGCATCACTTGATTAAGGAAAAATAGCACCACTTGTCCAGATTTGGCAAAACTATTCGATATCGTTTCCCAAAGTGAATTGCTGGTCACTATGAAGAGATATGACACTACAAGGGATTTGTATAGCTGGATAGCTGGATATCCATATACTTAAGGGGCTGATTTGTACCGTACACGCCAATAACTACTGTCTTTCAGACATGGCTGCGACAGCTCAAATCAGGCGTTCAAGGAAGTTGTATCAAACCATTGCTTTTTCATTATATATTAATGATATTACAAAAGTTGCATTAAATTCTACCATTTATTTTTATGCTTATGATTGTAAAATTTATTCTCATGATTAAATGGATGAGTCCATTAAAAGATGACCTCGGTAGAAAAGCCAACTGTTTACTATATACATGGCAAGCAAATTACTCTAACCATTCAAAAGTGCAGCATATTGCATATAAATTTGAAAAAACCTGATCTTCCTAATCCATTTATTAATGGTAACATAATCAGATGAATATCTAATCCTGGCATAGTTGGTGGAATTATAATAAAGAATATTAAGTTTTATTTTTCGATCGTTTAAAACAGAACTGGAAATTTTCTTATCAAAGCTTCGTTTGGCTTGTTCTTGATACAACCTATTATCCAAGATTTTTCTTCTTCTAACAGCTCTCACCATTACTGGTTAGGCTGGCTCCAACGGCTACAAGGGCAAGACGCTTTCAAACAGCGCGATCAGATGCCATCGTCGACAGCAATAGAAGCCATTTCTTTTTCCATCATCTAAGTCCATATACTGCTGGTCCATCTATACGTTCAAAATCTTTCTTGACCGTATTAGGTCTTGATTGGCCCACTTCGCTTTTGAGGCTATCCATCACACGGTTTAGTAAGTAACGAAATATGCGACAACTCTTTTGGTGGACGACGGATGCCTTAACCACCGAAGGCGACGCTCTATGATAATATTATTAATATAGGTGATGTTTGAATGAAGGTAGATGTGATCATCTGATATTTTATCCGCTCGTCGGACCCTTAATCACCTTACACAAGAGTGGTCAAACGTAGCTAACTTCTTAATATCCTCCACTCTCATTGGCCATGTCTCAGAACCATATAGCAAGATCGAACCAATCACAGCTAGATAGATGTGGGCTTTTGTTTTAATGGTGATTTCACGATGACTCCATAAAGGTTTCGTCAACCGGACGAACGCATTTCAAGCTGCCGTGATTCGGGCTATAATATCGTCTTTTGCCTGGCCATTTAGTATTAGAGTGGACCCAATGTATTTAAAATCGGGCAGCACCAGAATTTCAAAAAGTCAGCTTCTTGTACATAAGACGAAGAGACTTTGGTTTTGTATACACTATTCTGACCCTATTCTTGTTGCAGTTTCTGACACGTTATTTAGCATTAATTATATTTCGTCATAATTGTCAGCAAAAAGGGCTACATCATCAGCATATTCAAGATCTGTAATCTGTAATGTAATCTGTAACGATGCTCTGGACTGACTTGGACATTTCTTGAGTGTCGAATGAAACACGTGACAGTGGGTTGCAAATATCTGAAGCGATGTTCCAATGCCCTTCTTAACGTGAATATCTGGCATAAACGTCTAGTAGGATGATTCCTCGATAATTGTCGCAGTATCATCTTATCATCTTTTTTGAGAACTGGGAGCAGAATTGCTTAACTCCAATCATCTGGTAATATTTCTTTTTCCCATATCAGAGTAAATTTGTTGAAGGTGTGTTATGAAGGAGATGGACAATATTTAAAGAGTTTAGTCCGAAGACCATCTTCTCCCGGAGCCTTATTGGCTTTAAGCTTATTGATAACAGATATTACTTCTTTTTGTGTCGGGGGCTCGCAGTTGCAAGCATATGGTTCAGCGTATCAGTTACCTCAGGGGCGACTGATGGCGCTTTATGGTTAAGTTTGGCCTTAAATTCTTTCCATCTTATGAGGCCCATAATACTCTTAATACTCTTGACTGGCACGCCACTGCTGTCCCTTACCAATCGTTTTACTAATCTTTTCAAGATATGCAAATAAATTAATTAATTAATTAATTGAGTGGTATTATTTAAGAACACCATATTATACAGGGAATGTGAAATCTTATTATGCTATTATGCTAACAACATGTTAGTAAACATGTCATTCAGTTCAACTTGTATTATTCTGTGATTACCGTTAATTTCTTCTTTATATTGTTAGCTTTTGTCACATTTCTTTTGTATTTTATTTTATATTTAATTTCTTTTTATTTAACACCTTATTTGTTGTTATTAATGCAATTACTATCGTTCTGCTTGGCTGTTTTCAAATAAATAAATCTATTAAAATAAAATTAAATACTAAAAAACTATAGCAGATCATGAGAAAGCTATCACTAAATGACTATTAACAGAATAAAATCAGTCTATTGTTTGAAATTTTTCATGAATTTTAAATTTCATGCTCAAATTATGAAAGATAAAAAACCTATATGCTCGCTTCGTCGATTTTGGCAAAGAAATCACATGTCCAACCATTATTTGATTTGTGCAACTGAAATTATCGTAAATTAAAAAACGAAAAACCTATCTTAACCTTCAATAATGAAGAAAAAAATAAGGTTTGAAGATTCTACGAGAATTTAGCCAAATAAAAATGTGAATTTTAATCATTTGGTGTATTTATTATGATAGATGTAAAGTGAAAAAGAACCTAAGATAATGCACTTTGAATGTTGCTTTTTTCATCATTGGCATCGAACCGAACAACATTAATCCAAGTGGTAAAATATCCGACTGATGTCTCAACAGCTGAAATTGAAATTTAATGATCTAATTAAATATTGGTATTTTCGTCTTGCGCAATATTGAGTGGTTGGGAAATCACCGATGAAACTTGAAAAATGCACTTGCTTGTTTCCAGGATTTTCAGGGATTTGGATCTAGACAAAAAAATAAATAGTAAACATAGATCGGATATTAAATTAGAAAATCACAAAAAAAAAGTGTAACTGGATGATGAGGAAATAATAATGCCACAGGTAATAATAATAAAATGGCGAAAGGTTACATGGAAAAGAAGACAGGCATCATGGCCTTATAAAAGCCCTATAGCATCGAATAATAAAAAAATTCATTGGATATATGCATTTTTTGATTTATATAAACATTTTTCTCCTAATATAATTTCATGAAATTCATAAAAATCGAATTTTAACTTTAAAATTATATAAGATACATTTTGAAATCTTTAATCGTTGATAGGCTTGGATTTGTCCTACTCTCGAAAAGAATAAGCCTGTCATCAAAAAATCGGAACGATATTGGCAACCCTTCAGAACCTCTAAATGGCTTTTTGACAAAAATTTTTAAATAAGCGAGCCTAATAAGAAATGGTGAGCAACTATTTTACAAAGATTTCAAAAAATTACACGAAACTGTCCACATGGAGAGATTTTTCCATCCGAAACTGCAGGTTTTTCAATAACTTTATTTAACGATAAAACGGTTGAACTATCAAAGAGAAGCCGGAAATTTGTTTCAGCAATAACGATCAATCTTAGCTGATCTTCTCGTAAAAATTCTTTTCGTCGAATACTAAAAAAGAAATCTTTTTATTTAAAAATAGAAAAGAATAAAAATTTTTCATGAAATTTTCAGTAAATAGAAAAATTCTTGATCTATATTTTTGATGCTTCAATTAAACTAAAATTGCCATTTTAGAGAATAATTCAGCATTCAGTATAACGAATATACAAAAATACAAAAAATTCATAATAATAATAATACATTGTAGACTGGACAATTCCTTCCAACAATTTTTCTATCAATTTTTTTTCATTGATAAATGATAATTTTTAGTATCGAAGTCAATAAAACAGTGATGACAATGGAATAAATCAACATATACACTACATTTATATCTTATTCAATACTCAAATCGCTCTACTGAGAATGAACGACAGTTTCACCATCATTTCCCTTGTCTTTGCCTTTCAGTCTTTTTTCCTCTATACACTCATTCCATATTCCTTCAGTAATTCACTTCATGGATAAATCAAATTTCATCAAAAAATTAAAATTAAAAATTAAAATCAAATTGACGCTAAAAGCCATCCTTGCTGGTTTTATCAGCGTATGATTAAAGAAAACGAACGCACCAAAATTCATTATCAGTAATATTATCAGGAAAAATCACATTTTCCTCATTCGGTAACTTATTACTTTGAATGATTTTCTTCGGAAATAAATTTTTCAATAAAGAAGGCATCATTTGCATTCATTTTATCAATAAAAATTCAAAGCATTATCAGCTTATCTGAAAAAAAACTTTTTAAATTTAAGAGAAAAATAATTTGTTAATAAAAAAATCGTCGCATCGCATTTTAAATAAAAGAAAAAGAGGCAAATGACGATTAAGAATATTGATAAATAATAATAAAATAATAATAAATAGTAAATACAAATAAATAATAATTAAAGATAATAACCAACAATGAATAGTAATGACAATTAGTATAGTATAACTAATAAATTAATAACTAATAAATTATTATTTATGAAATATTACCAAAAATAATAATTAAGGTTTAAAATAACTAATATGCCGCTGACAAGAATAAACAGACAAGCAGCAGCTCGATAAGTTGCCAAAAGGACCAGTGGAGAAGAAAATGCTAGAGATAGACAACAATAATACACGATAACAACCAAGGACGAAAGAAAGAAAGATCGGCGTGCCAGGAGTACACAACAAGACTGCGACACTTCAAAAGAGCTTTTGAGATCGCCGTTTGGAGACAAATTCGGTTTGAATGACTAATTTAATATTTATTGGAGTTTCGAATGAAAAAATGCAACAATAAGGAAACTTAAATATTGCAAAGAGAAAGAAAAATGAATTTTTCAATAGAATTTTCTCATAATGCAGATATATATAAACCAAAATTTTCGTTTTTTCATTTCTTCCATTTATAAAAAAGATTGCAAAAAATCGAGTAATTTTTTTTTATATGTAAATATAAAATAAATATAATGAATATTAAATAAATATATAAATACGAAGGGCTGAAAGATGAACTGGAGAAGACGTAGAAAATAAAGGCCAAAGTAATTCCAGTGATAATTGGAGAACTTGGAACTATGACTCTAAAACTAGAAAAAGTAGCTTCGGCAGATTCCAGGAATAACATCCGAGATGTCTATTAGGAAGAGCGCACTTCTACGAATATTTAAAATGTTGCGGAAGCCCTCAATCTCCCAGGCCTCAGCCAGAGAATCCAAGGCAGACCATCACCTACAGGGGGATGAGAAAAGGTTTTTTTTAAAATAATTAATAAACAAATATGTAAAAGTAAAATATATAAAGGAAACAAATAGATGGTTAGCATTCACGATTTCTGTTTAGACTAGCCTCGACGTTTTTCGAACAGATGAAATTTTTTGCTGAGGAAGCCACTTGGCGACAGAATTACAGGGTTGTCAACGACTCGGAGTTTTTGATGATAGGTTTACTCTTATAATGACCCAACAGGACCCAAATCCTTGTGCCAGTACTATGGCTTAAACCACTCTCCACTCGGCTATCCTGTCCCTCGTTAAATATATTCAAATAAATAAAAATAAATAAGAAAATAAAAGATAAAACGCAGATATATTAAACATACTAAACGAATTTATAAACAAATTTTAAGATGAAGAAAATTTGCCGAGATTTAAAAGAAATTTTCGAATTTTCTTGGTAAAAAAATTAAAAATGACAAAACAACGAAGAGAAAACGAATATAAATAGGAAGTAAATAAAGATAAAAAACAAAATTTTTTAAAATGATAATTGATAAATCATTCGTGATAACGCATTCTCAATTTTCAGTCAATGAAAATTTTTTCGGTCGAAAATCAAGCGAAACCCGTAAAGATGGAGCCAACTCTGTAAGAGTAGGGCCAACCCAAGAGAGATGAAACAAGGAAGTGCAAATGTGAACTGCCCTCAAATTGCTTTATAAACCATAAGCCGATTCGGAAAAGAGCCAATTTCAAACTTTCTCCTCAACAATTTGAGTCCAGTTTACCTGGACTTGAGCCAATCTTCGAAAAGAAAAGAATGAAATAACGCTCATTAAAATTATCCATTATGTATGGTGATCAACGATTATGTCAATAAAAAAAGTAAAAAACAACATTAATGACGTCATCGAAAATAACGAACTGACATCACCGAAAGGAGAACAGAGCGCAGACAAAAAACAAAAAACTCCACCAAATTATCAAACTTTCAGTACCACTGCAAACTTGGTGCGAACACCAATAATCCGTTCTAACCTCCTCCAGACTGCTCTTCCCCCTCGAAAGAAACACTGCTCGAGGAAAACGCGCGACTGGAGTTACTCCAAGAAACGTCACTTCAAAAATTTCACATGAATGAAGAAAGGACATTCCCGGAATTTCTTTGGCCTTCTAACCCGCAAACACAACAAGTCCTTTAAGTCAGGACCACTGCTATTAATACGCTCGTTCCTAATTTATTACAATCCCTTCCCCGCTCTCCTCCTACTTTCAACAAACTTCAAAAATGCAGACAGAATTCTCTTTTCTATTCTCTTCATGCGTGCGTTCCCAAGCATTAAACCTCAGTTTGCTGGCACTATGCCAATTAAAATCTGTTTTCCATTCACGTGCAATTCACATGAGTATATTTTGGAATCGTGCCAATATGATCATAAACTTTACTGTTTATTTGCTCAAAAACAGCAAAAAAGTCGGTTGAACGCGAATATTGAGAGAGTGAGTAATAAAAGTGCGCTGAATGCAAGGTGTGCAAGTGGTGCAAATGGCGCAAATAATGTGCATTTTACTATTGCAGCGCTATTTTCGGTGCGAGCAGAGAGAATGCAAGATGGTAAAAAAGTGCATAAAATATTTCTACACAATTATTTATAAAAATTTCGTTTAAAAAATAATTCACATGCATAATTTTGACTTTCATTTTTCATTGAATAATTTCTGCATAAATATATTTCTATCCGTATTTTAATTTTAAATATTTTTGCAAAATAACACAAAAATGTGCACATGTATTGCGCGATACCGCCTCGTTATCGCTTCACCAGTGGACCCAATGAAACCAGAAATGGTGCAACCTACTGGAACAAATTTAAATTTTTATAAAATAATTGAAACTGTGAAACAATAAAAAACAGAAAGCAATGACCAAAAAAAAGCGACAAAAAATTTTAAAAAATTTCATTTAAATAAATTTTTAGAATTTAAATTTATGAGAGTAAATAAAAGAATGCTTAGAAAAACAAATAAATGCGAACGTAAATTTAAATAAAAAAATTTAAAAATATCAAATTATCAAATTCTAAAAATAAAACACAATTATTCAACGATTTGCATTTTTTTTTCAATCATTTCATTGAAAAATAAGAAATAAATTTAATAAATATTAATAAATATTATATTTATAGCATTAATAGCGTTTAATAAATATTTAAGCGTTGGTTGATGCCGCTCTTCTCCTTTTCGCCAAAGAGAAATTGGTTTGAGTCAGAAACACCACTCGCAGTTGGTCTTTTAATGGATTCTTTATTAAGCGATCAAGGGACACCACAGTACTCGAAGTCGGACTAACGCCGGCTCATTAGGGTGAGCGTGCGATTTCCGCCGCCCTTAGGCACCCCTTCTTTCTACTAAAGTTTTAATTTTTTTTATGCTGATGGTGCTCAACAGAATGTTATGTCGAGGATGGAAAGAAGAGGAGAGAGACGGAGAAAGACCGAAGCTTGAACGGATAAATAAATAAATAATAACAATAACATAGATGAAATAATAAAAGAGAGGATTTCTATTATATCCGAACTGATTTCTATCAGCTTGAATTTATTTTAAGAGTGGGCAAGAACGATGATGATGGCGTTCATCAACAGTTACCTGGTTGGTTGGTGTGTTGGAATACTAGTAATTTATTTATGGTAAGCATTAATGTGTGAACAGATTCGCAAGGAGCGAACTTGTCCAAAATATCCGAGCGATGCTGGCGACCCACCTGCAGTCTATCGCCAAGGGATTCTCTGGCATATTCGCCCTGGCAGTGCGACAAGCCAGCGCAGCGAGTTTAATTAGTACTGGTGAGGGCTCTTGAAAAAAAGCACTTAAAAATCGTTGAGAAGCATGTATGTGCGCACCAATCAACATTATACTTTGTCTTCTTTGTTGTCGTTCATCAAGAAACTATATTTATTTATATGTTAAAACTTTTTATTAGAAGCTGTATAACTCCATTTTGGGAAAATATTTCCGAATAAATCGCTGCGTAGAAGTGATATAAAAAATCAGCAATTCATTGATGACTGAGGCCAAAAAAGAATGTGAATGGCATACAATTGCCTTCATTATTCGAACTTGACCTCGAGCTTAATGTCATCGAAAAACAAAAATATGTAAAATTTAAATTAAAATAAAATATGGAAGGAGAATAAGCTGTGACTGTCGTTGATTCGCATCTCATTTCTCTCGAATGAAGCGCGCATATATATTTCCGGTTTTTTAGTGATTAACTTGACTGGTATAAAACGAGAAGAGTGCAAATAACGCAAAAGGTAAGCTTGCATCGCACAAGAGTCAATCAGAATAAAATTCCTTTGATTTTTTCCTTCAGAAAAAAATGAATCTAGATAGGATAGAGATAAAACAAGATTGCTGCAAAAGATAACATATGCTAAGTGATTAATTACTAGGAACCGGAGAAGATGAATCGGTCAGCCCGGGTGCTAGTCCTCTACTCTATCCTTGCTCAACCATATTGCTTCTCACAGGACTTCCCACAAGTAAGATCGTAGTTCCAACTGGATTATAAAGATTACAGGTCTGCTCTCATCAAGAAACAAGAAAGAAACCATTGTATTTGACCAGTTGCAGGCGCAGATAACCAAACTTCTATAAAAATAATGCCTATAAGTTAATGAAAAAAATACTTTTAAGGCAAATTTCCTGACTTCACATTAAATTTCCTGGTGCTATTATAGGCAAACGACCAACTTAAATATCCTTTAAAATTAATGTGCAAAACAGAATGCAAGCTAATGATCGTGAGAAAATTGCCAAGTCTTCTAATAAATTGCGGAGGCTACTAAACTAATGACGCTAGAATTTTAAAAAACAAAAACTACAAAAAATAATATCAAAAAAAGAATAAAGAAATATGATAAGAAATTGTTTCATCATTGTCTTTCTCCTTTTCTCCTTTTCATCCTTCTCTCTTCCTTTCCTTTA